AGACATTTTCAAATGAGAATCTTTGAGTCTTAAATGAGAATCTTTAAAATGTTTCCAAATGAGAATCTTTAAATCTTCAAATAAGCATATTTGAGTGTTAAATAAGAATCTTTGAGTCTTAAATGAGAATCTTTGAGTGTCAAATAAGAATATTTGAATTTCAAATGAGAATCTTTGATGTGTGAAACCCAAAATTTATCGAATGTGAATCTTCGAATTCAAATAAAAATTTTTGAATTTTAAATGAAACTCTTTGAATTTCAAATGATAATCTTTGAGGTGTGAAACCCAAAAATTGTTGAGTGTGAATCTTTGAATTCAAATGAGAATCTTTGAGTTTCAAATAAAGATCTTTGAGGTGTGAAACCCTAATGTTTGTCGGATGTGAATCTTCGAACTAGAATTAAAAATTTTAAACTTTTGAATGTGAATTCAAAGTTCAAACTTTTTAGATGTGAATCCCAAATGTGAACCTTTGAACTTGAATGAGAAGCTTTGAATTTTTGGATGAGAATCTTCAAAATTCAAATGAGAATCTTTAAATGTTGCAAATGCGAATCTTGAGATCTTGCAAATTTGAATTCTTATGAAAATAAAATTTTGAGAATTAAATTTTAGTAAATTCTTACGAAGCTAAAATGTTCTTATGAATCTGAACCTTTGAATGTTGAACTCAAATTGTGAATCTTTAAATTTTCATTATAAAATTCCTTTAGATACAATATATAACTCATTTGGACACGATTGTTTAAAAAAACATTTTATTTTTCAAAGTTGTGGTTGCCTCTATTTAGAGGAGCATTTATTTTCCAAAATTGTGTTACCTCTATTTAAAAGAGCAATTTATTTTTTAAAATCGTTGAGCCTCTGTTTAAAGAAGCTTTGTTTACTTAAAAAAAAAAGAGAAGTGTCGGGTTGAGTTTTGATGTCTACATCTTTGAACAATTCATGTTTCACAGAAAATATGCAAAGAGGGACAGCTGTAGACACCCTATTTGGTCCGAACGCAAAGCCATTGGACCTGATCCAATAGGATTTAGGCCTAAACCTATTAGGTTTGATTTAGGATCCAATTAGTAGGCCCAATTGGCTTTTATTTTTATTTTATTATTTTTTTGGTTTTTTATCTATCTTTAAATTTTTTTAGTTGATTTATCTTTTTTTATTAGTTTTATCATTAGTTTAATAGATTTAATAATAAAAAATATATCTTTGGTCATGAATTGGTGGTTATGGAGTTCCTGTAGGTTTTAATCTAAAGTGGGATAAGTTTTAAGTTGTTGATAATATGAAAATTCAGTAAAAAAAAAACTTTTATCTTATTAGAAATTCTTCTAATATGGTCTTATAAATCACTGATCACACATAACAAAAAGGAGAGATATGAGACAGAATAAAATAGAAGCTACAAAAAAAAAAGATTATGAAGGGTAGAGATAGTTTTAGAATTTTTTTTTGAATTTTGGGTTTTTTTTGGAAAATTTTTGGAAAATCCAGAATCCGACCAAATTTTCGATGATTTTTTTGGCCAAAATTTTCAATTTCCTACGAGTTTTTCCAGATTCTGGTAGAACATTCAATCGAAATCTGAGTTTTTCTAGAGAAAGGAAAGAGAAAAGAGGGGAAGAGAGAGAACGAGAAGGAAGACATCGAAAGAAAATTGAAAGCTTTTGCCTTTTATACCTTCAAAAAATGACGTCGTTTTGGCCTTACTAATCTCAAAGGATTCGCACATTTTGCTATCGGACGACCCGACCCGAGCGCCAACCAGTTTTTGACCCGCGTCTGACCCAAGTGCCAACCGAGCCAAGTCGAGCAGCTCACTCCTAAACCGCATTTTAGAGCTATTTTTTTCTTAGAGTCAAGCCGAATCCAAGTTGAACCAAGCCATTCCAAGGTTTTTTTAATATTTTTATTATTATTATTATTATTATTATTATTGTTATTATTATTTCTAAATTAGAATTATTTGGTATTCCTTAAATATTTTTTTTAATTTTAATTTAATTTTTTTAATGATTTTTCTAAAATAAAATTAAAAAAAAAAATTTTTTTTTTAGGAAAAGTTGAAAGTATCAATTTTCTTTAAAAATAAAATTTCTAAAATAAAAATTTTTAAAAGTATTTTAGGAGAAAGTTGAAAGTATTAATTTCTCTTGAAAATAAAAAGGTTTTAAAAAAATATTTTTAGGAAAAAATTGAAAGCATCAATTTTTCTTGAATTGAAATTTCAAAAAAAATATTTTAAGAAAAAGTTGATAGTATCAATTTTTTTCAAAATTAAAATTTCAAAAAAAAAATTAAAGAAAAGTTGAAAGTATCAATTTTGCTTAAAATAAAAACTTCCAAATGTTTTAAAGAAAAATTAAAAGTATCAATTTTTCTTTTACAAAAGCAATGAATTTTTTTAAAAAAATGAAAAGAAAATTATTTATATCAAAAGTTAAATCATTATTTTTTTTTATTTTATTTCTTTTTTCTTTTCTTAAAATTTTTTTTAATGTTAAATAATCCAACGATAAAACTTTTGCAAGGAAAACAGTAATTTTTTTATATACTCTTGAAGTGAGGATTTTCTTAATTTTCTGTCAAAAGTATTGGAGTCAATTAAGAATAATTTTTAATAAGTAATTATTTGATAAATTTTTTAGGCTTAATGGATAACACGAAATCAAGCTGGTACCATCCTTTGATGGGATGTTGTGAGGGTGCTATAACTTTCTTTACTCGTAATCATACTCTCGAACTCTATTCTAGTTAATAGATCCGAACATATTCTTTTAAGTACCCTTAAGCTTAGGTGTTATTTGAAATAATAAATTATTTAGGTGGTCAATCGCACCTAAACAAAAAAAAATTAGTGACGACTCCTTAAATTAATGTCTAACAATGAATCATCGTATCTATATGATATGACAAGTAAGATGATATATATAAACATATTTTATGTGATATATTAAAAATTTTAAAATATAATATAATATATGTCAATCTCTTAATTTTATTTATAAAATTAAAATTTAACTGACATTCTATTAAATAATTTTTACTTATTCAATTATTTAAAAAATAATGGTATGAGGTGAGATTTAAACTCTTGATCTCATGTCTTTAAATTAAAAACATATTATTAAGACAAATGCATATGTTTTGTTAAGTCATTGTTATATTTAATGCTTATTAAATACTGAAAACAAGCATTTAATTCTATTTTTTTTTTTAATTAGATTGCCCGACTGAACTGAAACCGAAGCCTTTATCAGTTTAATCTCCAGTCCCATTTTTTAAACATTGGAAAATAATCGTTATAATGCAATTTAATAGATAATAGATTCAAAAAGTGAAATCAGTATTCAGTAATAAGAAATATAAACTTAGCATGGGATAAATTATTGCAGAATTATCTAATCCGTACATTATGTACTGTTTCTCTTGATAGCATGTATATCATTAAATAAAAAAAATATTTTTAATAAATTTATTAAATTTAATGCAAAAAAATTTATTTAAATCAATTCAAAAAAAAATATTACATAAAATTCAAAATCCTTCACCGTTGAAGAAAAAAAAATGTTTAAAACGCAATTATATATTCATCATCAAATCCTACCCTCTCTCACTTTACTTCTCATCATCTACAATTAATCATCTATTAATGACATAAAATCATAGATTATTCATTCTTTCTTATAGTTTATAAATATAAACTAACCCAAAAAAGAAAAGTGTAAAGCTTTCTTTCTTAAAAGGCAATAAGCAAAAGGATCTATAAACTTTTATATTATGTAAAGAAAAAAAAATTTTGAAGTCTATATTTTGATGAATTCAAGCTCCAGCTTCCATTGTCCATTGAAAGTGTAAATATTTTGTTTTGATGAAAAAATGGGTGATAGGAAACCAGCCAACAACGCTTCACATTGGTCAAGCATAGGCCCACCAAGAAACCAGCAATGACGGCCAGGATTCATGGGCATATTGTTGTATGTTCTTTTATGGAGTGGTCCACCATGTCCCCAAAAAAACATAAGGTGGACCACATAGGACCAATGCTAACCGTTCATGATAGAGACCATGGGTCCACCCAAAAAAGAAGCTAAGTGGAACAGAACGAGCCTGCCCTCGTTGGCTGCCCCACCCTTCTTTTTTGGGTGGCCCTCCCGACTTTGAATCAAAAACCAAACCAACCCTTAGACTACACCCAAAGCGTAGATACTAGAGAGTGAAGTGAAATCGAACCACCCATATTCTGAAGTGCAGTTTGGACCCCACAAAAATCAAGGGAAGAAAGTAGAAGAAAGAACTTCGGCCCCACGGTCCTTGTTGCATGCGCACCAAAATCCACAACTAACACGTAGACCCACCCAACCCCTTGCGGGGATGATCTCCTGAATCCCCACTCTCCTTTTAAGCGCGTGAAAGATGGAAAGAGGTGAAAATTGGGTGGTGATTGTTAAAGTGCGTGGACATATATAGGTGGTTTTCGGATATGGACCCCTGGGAAATGAAGGCGGACCCACCACCAGTGCCAGACCAACTCCGCCTACTTCTCGGACGAGAATTGACCCCCGACCCCTACTTACACGTGTAAAGCTTGAGTCACGTGCGGATGTTGTCAACTATTTAGCAAGTACATTTCCTTTTGCCAATGCACCGATTTGTTTTATATTCTTAATAGATAAATTATTTTATCATCTGACCTGAATGATTTCTCGTTTTTTCATTAATGTTAAACATAATTTTTTTTAAAATTTTTAAAATAAATATATAAAACTTTATTTTTTAAAATTAAATAATATCATATAATTTTATAAAATTTTAACATTAACAATACATTAAATATAAACTTTAATAATAATCTTAAGAAAATATCAATGAGTAAAAACCCTACCTTAAGAATTTCCATGCTCAAAATACAAAAAAAGAAAAAAAAAAACCCCAAATTTAGGCTTAAATTTTGATAGATGAAGTTTTGTTTGAGCATTCTCGATGCATGTTTGATAGCAGATGTTGGCTGTTAAGGTTGAAATTAGTAGTAGCACACATTATATTTGTGTGACAACCGAAAATGCATTACACATTTTCATATAATTTTGCTACTCCTATAAGTTTGACAATGAATATATAGGATATGATATGGCTATTAAAAAATATGCAAATATTTTTAGCATATCGAACATTTATAGTTGTCAAACAGTATCGTTCTATTGAAGTTAGAATCTTTGTCATATCATTTGATATTGATATTGATATTGTGAATTCATCTGACATTACATCATAAAGTCTGGAATTTTGATATGATTATAGTCTACAAATAAATGTCCATACCAAGTAAAACCTTATCCATTTTAGACAAGGGTTTTTTTTGTGTGTGTGTGTGTGTGTTAGATTAAATTTCACACTAAAACATGGAGACGCGTGAAGAACTGATGTTCATGAATACTTTGCATTTTGCAACTTGCAAGATGGACGAATTCTCACTAAAACACTATCACTTTGAGAAAACACAGGTTACAGATAAAGACAGCCTCTAAAACTTTTTTTTTTATTATTTCATTGGATTATAACCTTTCAGAAATCTAAATTTTATTGCTTAGAAGCAGCTTGCATATGCTGATGATGATTCTCTGACCGCCCCATGAATTGCAACTCTTGTTTATCATAAATCTCCAATGAAAAATCCCTAAGCATCTGAGCCTTACCCCTATTCCCAATGCTGCCGCTATCATTACCAACCGAACTCACGCTTGGCGCCATGGTTGACCTCTTTGCCACCGTCGCCCCCACTGGTGTACTGCTTGCATTCACAGCTGAAGTTGACAAACCATTATTGTACACAACTGGTTGAACTTGATTTGTTGTTGTAACGAATGAAGATATGGGCCTTGCAGACACGTTAAAAACAGGTGTTAAAGATGGTGATAAAGCCCATATCTGTGGCGACGGCTGCTGATTAGTAAGCACATTTCCAGCAGCCGTAGCCGTCGGCTGTGGGATCATCCAAAATGCATTTGCCGGTACCATCATTCCACTATTCCCGACAGTCCAAACTGGCACCAGTCCTTGCGGAGTAACTGGAGCCAACCCTGAAGCTTGCGTGACTAACTGTTGCTGTTGTTGTGAAACTGCAAATGAAATTCCTTCATTTATATCGCAGAACTCGCTGTTCGCAGGGCGCTTTCTTTTCTTTCTGGCACTGTCATCTATTCGGTTATTATTGTTGTTGTTATTGGAAGCGTTTGTGCCTGACGTTGTAGGAATCTTGAGGGTACCGCCGACTGAGACAGCGATGGCAGGAACAGTGCCGGTACCGGTAGCTTCTATGATAGCTTGTTCAGCATGTTCGAGGAGCCACCTGACTGTTTCTCCATCTGATTTATGGCCGAGTTCACGAGTCAGCTGGAAGATCCTGGCGGCGCAAGTGGCTGGTATTCGGATTCTTCGACCACGACCTTCGACTTTGGTGTGACGGTCCTTGGTGGAGGAGCGTTTACTGGCGTTGACAGGCATAGGCATAGGGATTTGTATTGGCATCTGTTGAATCTGCATGGCAACTGGGACCACCCCAATAGGCGGCGTAGGATGGGTCTTATGGTCGGATTCTATCGGCTCTTCTTTTAATGGCATAATCTGGAACGGTGAGTTTTCATAATTTTTATCCTTCTTGTTGATGTTGTCGCTAGCCGTGGCGGTGTTGGGTTCTCCAGCACTCGTGCTAAGATCAGATGTGACTCCGTCGTCAGGATCCATTTCCAGGAATTGGGTTGGTGTTACTTTTTTTGCCAGGGAACCAAGGGAAAATTTGTTTTTTTTTTTTTTTTGTTTCTATTGGGAAATGGAAAATAGGTCAGAACCCAGAGGATTATAAAGGGATAAACATGGGAAAAAAGAGATTAAAACGAAAATGAATCGAAAGTGTAGGGGTAAATTAATAACAAAAGAAAACCATTTGATGCACTCGGTTTTGTTTTCTCATTCTGGTTTCTGGGTTTCGGGGAGGAGAAACCAACGATGGTGATTGCAATCATGCGGGTTGAGTGGGAGTGAAAAAGTGACACGTGTTGGGTCCCCTCCGTGACCATGGTGATCATCAGCTGTCTCGATCAGGTGGACCTCAGTAAGGGGACAGGTGGACTCTACTCTCGACCAATAGAATTGCACAGTGGTGACCGAAAGATGTGAAAAGGCTTTGTCTTTGTGGACTAATAGATTGATTCATTGGTTGACGCCACCAATCTGAGGTGGTCCATGCACTACTAGAAAGATTAAGATCCCCACGCTGGCCATTCTCAAACTAATGCGCTTAACTCATTCAACACATTTTCTTGGGGTAAAATTTTGCAAGGTACTACATTTTAAGCCGGGCATTCAATAAGCTCAAATCTGAAACTGTGGAACAAAAAAAAAAAACGACTCAAATTTTGATATTCTTTTTCAATTAATGTAACCCAAAGAACCTCAATGTGACTAAACCCAATGAAAAGAAAATATTCCAGACTTCCACTTACATTGTAATGGAGTTGTGGAGTGCTTTTTTTTCCCCCATTTGCATTTTATTTTACTTTGATATTGGCGAAAAAAATGAGGCAAAGGCAATTATAGAAGGATAAGGACTAAGGTTGGAAGGGATGGGTTATTCTGGCTTATTACCCAGGATAACCCTTTAATTGTATTTCAATGCATCAACAACCTTGGAATGAAATCTACAAAGATGGATGGCAGCATCAGCATGCAGCAGGAATGGACTTCGGAGAAAAAAATATATCTTTAATAATCATCAAGAAATTGCCAACTACTCTGTTTTAACACAAGTAAATTGGCTCTAGAAAGAACTTATTACAAAGAAGGGAGGAAAAGAAAATGAGCTGAAAAAAGTATTGGCTGCTGAATGAACTATTTTGCTTTAACATACAGATGTAACCCAGTTCTGGGTGCTAACAACACATCAACACATCAAAGACAAGCCGCCTTCCTGGCATTGTGGATGATAAATCAGTTCTTCAGTGACCATTGGCAAGAGAACCATTCTCACAGGCAGTACACTCCCCATCTTTCTTTGCATAGAATCTCCGGTACATGGAATCAACTTCAGTGAGGTAATATGTCCCGGAAGACAAAAGGCTACAGTCCTTGCTTGTCACAAAGTCCTTGGCTCCATACCTATGCTCCATGAGCTTCATTGTCTCAACGAACTTCTCAGGGGGAAACTGCATGAAAACACCAATATTACAATCTTTTCACTGACATTCAATAAAATAATAAAGAAAATTATCCTTTGAGTTGAGTTTATGGCACTCAATAAAAAGGAAAAGAAATTCCTCAAGGTGCTCAAGCTGAATTATATACATGGATTGGGTGTGCCAGTCAACCGATCTCGGTGAATCACATCACAAAATCCAAACCTCAAGAGGCAGGCAGGTTGTAGAATGACCATTTAGTTATCTATTGTTGTATGTCCCTGGTTTTGTAGATATCATGATATCTGACAAACTGTACATTTATCTGCTTAAAATGAAAGTGCAAGAGTTACCTCATGTCTTGACTTCAATTTCCCAGCAATATTCATCACTGTTGCAATGTTTGATAGGCTAAAAGGATGTTGACCTTCGTGGAGTCGCAATGAAAACATTGTGGCAGTCAGACCACTTCCATAGGAGAATAATATTACCCGCTTTCCTGCCTACATTTTATTAAATATATCAGATGCAAGTAAAAACAGAGCAGATACAACAGACTTTCATATCTGAAAAAATGATAAACAATTACCAGTTCAGTATGTTTGTTGTGAATAAGTGATGCAAACGCAGCATAAAGAGATGCAGTATACATGTTGCCAACTTGCTTTGGTATCAGGGTGGTTGGCTGCACCTTAGCTTCATAAAGGGGTTTCGAAACTTGTTGGGATACCTGAAAATGCATAATAATAAGTGGCATCAGCAAGAAGTATGAAATAAAGAATTTCAACCATCTATCTGTCAATAAATTCTGCAATATCAAATTTCGGAACTGTTTGTGCATAATTTTAATGAAGCAAACTAATAAGAATCTACCATGCCCATTGTCATTACAGAATACACTAATGGATCAAACAAACTAAATGAAATAAAAAAGATGTCACTCAAAGCTAACATAGCTTGGTTTTTGTCACTTTGATGTTACAAAAATTAGTCAGAAACTACAAATTATTAATAGAGTTCAAAATAGACCTTCTCAAGATCCCTGCTTTGGTAGCTTTCATCACCAGATAAAGTTGAAAATGGACCTAGCTTTTCTTTAACAATGTCATCAACAGAACTACAAAATTATGTAAACCCAAGTAAATAATCAAACAGAGATGATTCAATCAATACAATCTCTAAGGGCATCAAAGAAAAAGAAAAACCTGGCATTCCTCAAGAAGTCATTAAACAACAAACGGGCAAAGCTTTTCTGCACAAGCTGCAGCAGTTCAAATGAAATTTTTTCAGAGAAATTTCAAAATTCCCATGATTAATTGAAAGAAAATTTGTTGATTTATCAATAACTGCTAGAATTAGCTACCTTGTTATATGGAGAGTGGAATACAACGTAGTCAGCATCAGAAAGGGAAAATTGTTTGCCCTCTAGTTTCTCATACCTGCAGCCAAAGATTGAGGCATTAGCAGAGCATAACTAGTCTAAATTTCATAATAGTAAAGAAAAACAGAAATGCTTCAGGTACTTCAGCAGTGACTTACTTGTGACAGAAATATTTATAGCATGTGTCAAGAGCCATGAGATAGCACGTTTGAGATAGTTTTCCATCAACAACCTACACATGCATGTCAATAGATCGAACCATTACCCAAACAGGAACTCATAGCGAACAAGAATCGCATTATAGGTAATTGATATGCCAATTAAATTATTGCTATAAACAGTCATTAATGAAATCTATCCTTAGAATGTCATAATAATTAGTCCCATACTTATTTCCCATAAAAGTGGCAAAATCTGAGAGGCAATTGGGTTGCATTACCGGATATTCACTAGCAAGGTTGGGCTTGTAAAAGTCATAGGCATGGGACATATGACTCCCCCTAAATTTGCTTTCAAAAGCAATAGGAGCATCAGGCCCTACTAACATAGCAATTGCAGCTGCTCCTCCTGTAGGCCGGGCAGGTCCTTCTGCATAGACCTGAAAAACAAAAGTTCTCAGTAAGAAAACCAATCAAAACTAGAGGTTATATAACATCTGATTATGTCTCCACGGTTTGCTTTTAGTTAAATGTACACAAATGACTCGAAACCTAAATATCTTACTTATATAATTTTACAAACTCAAAAGCAAAATAATGAACGTTTTGCTTCCTGAAGTGTGCAATGATCATATGAACAAAGAAGTACAAAATTACAGCCCCTTCAGTCCAAAACTAAACCATGGAGAGAGTGGTATTTCAAAAAAATAGTATTTATTCCAGACTGGAGTGGGAAAAAGGAGGGGAGAGTTTGCAGTATAAGAAATCAGCATACCGCACTGTCAGTACAAACAGCAAGACCATATCGTCCATCCCATGAACTACTTTCCACCCAATTGACACAGTTGAATAGAGCTGCAGTCCCTCCGTAACATGCATTGGTTGAGTCGACCCCTTCAATATCAGTGTTTCCACATTTCTGTTTGTTTAACATGAGAAAAGAGCATTGTGTGAAGAACAGGGATTTGATACATTCACCAAAGTTGTCCTAAGAAATAGACAGAGCATTACAGAAATGTAATTAAATAAATCAGAATTTTCACTTTATTCAATCTGAAGTTATATGCAATTTTTACTGGTGTAGCCCCTATACACCAACACAGGATGAGATCTAAGAGTAATATGGCTGCCATAAAATAGGATTCAAGCAGGGGTTTTCCCAAGAAAAGAGCAGGTCACAACTAGCTGATAAGTGTTAAAGCTTTGAAAAATGATCCATAATAAATGCCAGCAGGTATTATTTTCAACTGCTATTTTGAGCAAGCGGTTATGTTTTAAATCACACCTTATAGTCAAAAGCCCAGTTATATTTTTTTACTTATCTAAGAGGAAGAAAGGGGTAATATCCTGGATAAGAAGATCGTGAAGATTGGAAAGCGTACCTCAAAGATCTGCATTAGGAAGGTCTTAATGGACTTGCTCTTGTCTATAACAGTTTCACTGCCAACTTCAAGACGGCCAATTTGCTTAGGGTCAATCTTATACTTTCCAAGGAGTGAAGTAACCGCTGTCAAACTGCAAATCAAATGTACCAAGTTAATAAAATTGACATAAGTGTTCATTTCAGTGACACTATGCATTATTTTTCATTGCATACACGTATGTAGAACAGTAATAAGTGATGTTAATAGCATATAGAAAAGTGGACATAAAAGGTGTAGGATTCATAACCTCATTGAGATGACATCTTCCACCTCTGTACAGAAGGCCATGCAATCTTGCCCAAGTCCAATGGTGTATTTCCCTTTGCTAGCACCGTCATGAGCCTCCAATGCTTCCTGTTTTGTAGGACAAAGAAAGGAATATGTTTAAAAAGTGATGCTAATGTAATCGGCTAGATTCATAAAATCCATATTACATTAATTTATTATAGTCCAACAAGACATTGATAATGGAACATGATTAGTAATATTCTTTTTAAAGGAACAATAACAAAGAGATTGTTTTTGTTATTAAATTATTAATTTCGAAAATAAAAGGTTTCCAGCAAGAAGGAAGAAAAATTATTATTCCCAAAAATATATTTCAAATATATAATATGAATAAACATATCAAACAAAAAGGCCATCATTCTACTATCAGTAGAAAAAGTACCACCAAAACACCAACTAAGACAGGTATTTGATACCAGATGATCATGCAAACATATATTTTGCTAGAAAAAAGAAAAGAGAAGAGAGTCGAGTGAACCCAAGAAAATCCTATAACACCCATTTTGTGATCCAGGTAAAAATCCATAGCTAGTAAATATCCACATCAAACAGTGAGATAGCAGACATGATATATTAACTGTATTTAGATTTCGCCTAAGCATGGAGATTTAGATGACCCCATCAACTCTAAATTTAAAATAACCACACCCCAGCAATATCACAGAAGACAAATCTCTGAAATGGGTTTTGAGATATAAAATCAAAATTTTAAAAATGAAAGAGGGAACAATAAGAAAAAGAAAATTGCAAGCAATTAGAATTCCTCTCCATCAGTCAATTTTGTTTCAGCTTAAGCAAAATATACAAAATTTTTCAGAAGCTCAAATTATTCTCCACAAATAACCAAAGAATCCACCCTTAAACCATTGTCTTACTAGTCTCAACCACCCAACCAAAACCAAGAACCCAGAAAATTTTTTTAAAAAATCACCAAAAAAGAAAAAGAGATGATGTCACCTGTTGAACACAGGTAGGAGGGAAGTAGATTTCCATAGCAAGGATTCCCACATTCTTTGCCATTTCTCACTCCAAGAAACAAAGATCAGCAACTACAACAACCAAAAAAGAAGCCTTTTTTTTTTTGAAAAAAAAAACTCCTCTTTTTATGTTTTTCTTCTTCTTTCTCTCTTTCTGAATATATATTGATCCCTGAAATTCGCAGAGAGAAACGTTGTGAGAATCACATGCGGTTCTTCCTTCGCTATTTATAGAGGAAAATGCAGACTCAATGAGTTCATGCTCCTTCGTGTAGTGGGAAACATTGGTTTCCCTTTTTACCCTCCCTTCTTCACTTATTTACAACTATTGCCATCATGTCAGAGTGGAAAATGGTATATATCAGATTTTTTTTTTATTGTTTTGCCAGCTTTTGTTGTCCTTTTTGTCATTTTATTTTAATTTCTTTTTAAAATATTTTTTTTAAAGTGATTCTAAATTTTAAATTTATTCGTAATTGATATTTACTTTTTTCTCGTTCAAAAGCTTATACTAATTGACTTACGAAAGCTTACAAAGTTTGAAAACAATTTTTTTAAGCTCTTCTTTTAATATCCTTAAATGTCCTTTTCATTTTTTTTTTTCACATGCTTGCCTCTCAATTAAACAGAGATTTATGCGATAAATGATAAAGATTTAGATAGTAATGTACTCCTTCAAATAATGCAACTACCAAATAAAATTAGTACATTATGCTATTCCCATTTAAGTGCAAAAATTATGCCTTATGCTTTGGGCAAACAAAGTCATTTAATATGCTACCACGTGGGCATATACCCAATTTTTTTTAATGATTTCCCCATTCGAATCTCCACTACTTCTTTTTTCTTTTTTTTTTTCCTATGTGCTCCACCCAATCACTGCCATACGATACATAATGCAATGTGTGTTACACATTTTAACATTGGATAACTAGGTTTTATTTAGATGGAGTTCATTTTCAAAATGATGTGATGGTATTAGTAAACTTGATAATTTTAAACATAATATAATTATATAATATAAAAATTATATGAATAAAAAATATGAATATGATATGATTTAAAATTTTAATGTAAATTATAAATAAATTTAACAAAATAAAAAAATATATTATATATGTTATTTTTTCATGTTGATATAAATTATCACATATAATTTTTATATAAAATATAATATAAACATATGAATTATCAATATTTTATATAACATTGAAAACATAAATTACCAAATTTATATATTAGTTAGATAAATATATTTTTATTTATTATTTAAAACATAAATAATTTTAGATTTTATTTTATTGAAATGATAAAAAATTATTAATCTGATAACTAAATTATAAAATAGAAAAATATTATGAATTTTAATATTAAATTGACAAATTTTTTATTCATATTTTTTTTATTCTTCTTATTAAATAAAGTTTTAATGTTTTGATAGGAGAGAAAAGGTTTAGGGTTTAAAATAAAGATTTGAAAAGTATGATGAAATCAATTTTAATCATTAATTTTGTTGAAACGAATAACCATATGATGGGTTCTACATCATTTGATCTTTTCAACTTTTATATGCTACAACATTTTTGTTTTAAGAAGATAAGGGGCCATATTTTATTTTCTTAAATGTAATTAGACATATAGCACTAGGAAAAGTCTACTAGACAGCAAAGATGCATAAATTGTCCAATTTGAAGTCATAAATGCCGCCACATAAACATGGTTGACAAACTGTTGTTCATTATATATTTTATTCAAATTATTATTTGTTTATTGATATAAAAAAAAATTTAAAACCTACCAAAACTGGTTGAATTAGCATATCAAATACCTAATTGAAGAGGAAAAAAAAAATAAATTTCGTGGGCATCCAAAATTGACCGCGTTACTAATCATTAATATATTAAAAAGGGAAACAAGGATAATTAGTCAGAACTCAAGCGGAAAAAGAGAACGGAATTGGGAGAGTTGGGGCGTTGGATCAAGCACGTGACTGTCCTTTACACTGCACGTGGACTGTTTACTGTATTTTACCTTTTCTAGGCTGAACATTTGTTTTTTTTTTTTTTTTTTTTATGTTTCTCATGTGATGGCATCATCATTATATTGCTTATTGGTTAAAAAAATTATATTGCTTAATTACGACACTAATTTTTATGCAGAAAAAATTCACGAATTTGACAAAAAAAAAGAGAAATTTCAGAATTAACTAAGCTTAGCTACACTAATGACTTAAATGAGCTAGAAAAGTATGACCAACTTACAGCCGACGGCTAATAATTAAGACTCAAATATAATGCTAACTTAGGGTCTGCAAAATTAGTTAAAAATAGGGTTGGTAATGGGTCGAGTGAGACAGATTTTTATTTATCAAAAATTTTATTCGATTTTATAATCATAAAATTCGAATTTAAATTCGATCTGATTTTTTTAAAATTTTGTTTATATTCAAACTTGATATTGTATAAATTATATTCGATTCGACTTGAAATTAATAAAATATTATTTTTTAAAATATAAAATATTATTTTTTAAATATAAATATATATAAATAAAAAATTTTAAAATAATTTTTTATATAATATCGAGTCGAATTTATCTAAAATTTGAATTCGATTCGACCTAAAACTCAATTAAAAAAAAATCAATCTTATAAGATCGGGTCTAATCAAAATCTGTCACTTCTAAATTAGGTTGCCAACCCAAGTTAAAAAAAAAAAAAGGTATAGAGCAAAACATTTAATTTCATGTAATATATAAAAAAATATAGCTAAAATGAGATTAGAGCTTTAAGAAAAACGAAAAGAGGGTTATGTTTTGTTTAATACGTAGTAATTTAAATTTGATGGGCTTTCAGGAATTAAAAATAAATAAATAAATAGTTATTTTGGATTTTGTAATCTTATTTTGTTTGCTATTGATACCCTGTTTCAACCATGTGTACGTAAATGGGGAGCCTTAAATTCCATGACACTACAAATTTTCTGACCTTGTAAGCATGCCAATGTTGATTATGGCATATATATTTGACTTCCATTGAAGCAATATTAATTTTGTCTAAACTTGGTAAGAACAGATATAAATTTTTTTTAATTTTTTGATAATTTTAAATTTGAAATTAAATTAATTAATTAATTATTTTTAAAAATAACATTTAATATATTTAAACTTCAAATTCAACTCTTACAATTCTTCTTTATTCGCAAGCTCTAATAACTTTTACTACAAATAAATTAGCTAGTATCATTACCTTCAGAGGATGATAATTTTAAAAGAGACGACGACTTTGGCACAAAAACAAGGCGGCTGGCTTGGTTGGCAAAAAGTTAAAACTTGGAAGCATGAATTCACCATGTATAGGGAGTAGTGGAAAAATTCAAAGTATATGACGATGCCAATGAGCATACTTTGAGATTTTCTTTTTTTGGGTCATTTCTGGCAGTTTGAATTTATGGGTTATCTCGTTTTTGTTTCTTTCCTCCCTTTTTTTTTTTGTATTCTTTGTTGTAATATTGATAATATATATATTGTACTTAATCTTGAATTCTTGACCGGCCTAATTTTATTGTTCTCATGAGTTTCCTGTTACTTGGCGTTTTGACAAATTAATGTAGATAGAATTTTTTTTATCTGAAAATTTTTGGGATTTCATTATATAATCCAAATAACAAGCAAAAAAATCCAAATAAAAGTGTTGAAATTGAATGTGCTCAATCAAGTCATGTGATGAAAATGAACCTAATTTTAAGGCAGATTGGCCATAGTAACTTTTTTTTTTATTAAGTTTTATGTAATGTGATTTCTTTTTAAGTAATATAATGCGATTTTGGAATGGGAATAGAATGATATTGGTGATGGACTTTTTTATTCTTGCATTTTATAACGCAATATTATACTCATCATGGACTTGGAAAGATGGATTTTTAATGATGAAAATGTAGGTGTCTTTGACTTTGAGACATTGATGTGCCTTTTTTTTTTCCATTTTTTTCTTTGATAAACTTCATAAATATTCTCTATTATTAAAGCTAAAATAAAAGTATTTTTGAGGTTTAAAATGTTATATTTAATTATTTTATGATTTTTTTATAAAAAATATTTATTTTTTAAATTAGGTTTTTTTTATCTTGATTTATACTTTTTCTCTAAAAATTCATTTTTTCTCTCTAAAAATTTATTTTCTCTCTCTAAAACCAAATCAATTCTATTTTCAAATCTACATAACAACCTTCAAACCACCAAAAAATATTCATTTTACTATCAACAAACAAAAAGCTGCCAGAAAATGAATCAATCAAGAAAGTCAAATTCGACAACACAAACAGTAAAAAATTCACTAACAAAGCCTCAACAAAATAACTCAATAACAAAATCAAAATTCCAACAAGCAACCTCAAAGAAAAATCCACAATAAAAAATTTAGTCACAAAAATAAAAAATTATCACCCAAACAATAAAATACATAAAGTTACGAGAGATTAAGAGTTTAGTTTCTTGGGATTTATTTTTATAAATAGAAAAAAGAAGCATTGCTGGTGTAAAGGAATAAAAAGAAGAAGTTCTTAGTGGTTTCAATAAGGTAACAAACAGTGACGGAGGTAGCAAGTTTTATCAGTTTTTAGGTTTTTTAGTTATATTGATTTGGTGTTGTTTTCAGAGCTTGAAGATGGTTTAAAAGTCTTTAAAGTTGTAACAATTTTTATTTAGTGCTTTGATTTAGGCTTGTGTTGGAGAGTTAAGAAATTCTAAAAGAAGAATAAGAGAATTTGCTTGGGGCTTTTGAAACCTATAAAATAGCGTACAATGGGTGAATAGCTAGAAGTGAGCTATAAATCAGCACCAAATTATGGGTTGTTAATTTTTTGGTTTAAAGTTTGGAAATTTAAAGAGATGGGAATGTGAAGAGTTTTCGATGATGAAAGAGTTTTTTTTTGTGGTTTAAAGGTTTTTGTTAGTAGATTGATCTGAATTTAAAGAGAGAAAATGAATTTTTAAAAAAGAGTATGAAATTTTAAAGAGAGAAAATAAATTTTAAGAGAGAGTATGAATATAGATAAAAAATAAAAAAAGGAAATAGAAAAGTAATGGTTTTGGGTAACAATAAAATAAATTATAAAATAATTAAGTGTTACATTTTAAATATCATAATCATTTTTATTTCGACTTTAATCACAAGATATATTTATGACGTTTACTTTTTTTTTCTCATATTTAAATTTGATACAAAATTTTCTCCTTGTAATTGTAAATGGAAATTACTGTAGATTCACGTTCAAGGGATGAAAATGAAGAAATTTGGCTTTTAATTTGTTTTATTTTTTGTTAGAATGCCTAAATCCTAATTAGGTTTATAAATATTAAAAAGAAAAGACTGTGTTTAGTATATAAATATTAAAACAAATTATATAGTCAGAAGCAGGCATGTACACGGCAGACCAAAAATTATTCAAATTCCACACGTCTAAACTTTAGTACCAGACAAAAGAATTCGGTTCGGTTTTCTAGGCCGGATCCTCTTATTTTATGTATTTATGATTGATGTATAGAATAATAAATAAAATAGTATAAAATTATATTATATTATATTATATTTATATCTAATTAAAATTGATTGAATTATAAAGAAGATTATTATTATTTTGATATAAAATAATTTAATTTTTTAAAAGTAAAAATAATTATTTTTAATTTATGAAATTAAATTTATATATAATATTATATCCTTAAAAATTATATCAATAATTTAAATTACATAAATTTTTAATAAAAATAATATTAACTAATAAATAAATAATATTATTTTAATCATTACACATTAAATATAAAATAATATTATTTAATTTAATTTTATTTATAATATTATTTTATTTTATCTTATCATAACTTTATATATCAAACAAGATATTCTTTTGAGTTAAGTCATACAGATCTCATATTCAAAATCAAAAAATCTTTTTTAAAAAGAAAATAAATCTCAACTAACCCCATGATTAAATCAGCCAATAATTTCCCCTCCATGCCCGAGACGATTGATAACAAATTAGGATTACTACATTCACATGACAGGATGGTGACTCTATATACTATTTAATTATTGATATGATTATTATACCTAATCTCACATGATTCCTGCAATGCTATAAATATACAATTTTCTTTTATGATAAACAATGTCTTATTAAAACAAGTACAAAGATTAATTTTCAGAACACATGGACCCAATTTGCACATATTAATTATTATTACTTTTACAAAAAAAAATGATGCAATTTAATGATAAAAAAAAATTATAAATATTGATATTTAAATTTAAATATATTAGATGATACTCTTTAAAATTGATTGAAAAAAACTAATTGAGTTTAATCTTGATTGCATATTGATTATTATTTTCTTAGTTATGACTTAGGGAAAATAATTAAGACTAGCTCTTTTTTATAATTTTTTGGGGGTGCGTACCATTTTTATACGCGTCTTACATTCATGTGTGCATGAATTTATTGAATTGAATGATTTCTAAAGTTTTATAAGTGATAAATGAAAATTAGAATACGATGAGTAATGGTTGATTTAATTATCCATGCCAAAAACGTGGACCAATTGCAATCTTGAATTCTTGTAAGTTGATTGCATACCGTTGAATTATGCTTTTCCCAATTGCAGTGTTTATTGGGGTTTTAGGCACTGCAAAACTTTTGAAATCTATAGAATCAAACAAAACTAAATTGATGAAATAAGCGGAAAATTCATGGAATATGAGAAAATTATTTCTTTTATTGGCTTGGCGGCAGGTGGAAAAGAAAATGAGTGTGACTTACAAAACAATTCCTTGACAAATAATGTTGACTGTTACTTCTGCTATGACTGACAGTTTTGACACTTCTTATGATCTTTTTTTCTGAAAGGAAATTTCAAAACCAAAGTGCTTGAATACAAAGAACAAAGACAAATTGGATAATTCTACTGAAACCCAATAGTACATGCATTTTGGCTTCATTAATTAGTGAGTGATCATCTAATTGTCTGCTCTTAGTTTAATGACTTGAGTGTACATTTTTCATGAAAATGGAAAGGAGTATAAATACTTTTTATCTCCAAAAGTAATGGTATTTAAATAATACCATGACAATAATGAGAAATATTTATTGGTTCAATACTTTTATCTCCGAAAGAGGCAGGATAGTTGATCAGAAGTGGGCTTCAATGCTGTCACCGCATCTATGCAAGAACCAAGATGAGTTCAAATTTGAATTGGTCCACTACACAAGCTTAACCCCTAGAATGGGCCTTTACAATAGGTAGCCTCCGAAATTGAAATTAGCCTCTAGCCTACTTACCAACTCATTCAAGTCAAGTTCAGGTAAAGCCTCGTAGCAAATCTTTGATTTGCATAGATGTTATTATTAGCACTTAAAAGGGGTTTTAATTTTCATTTTTACCTTCGTCTACCGATAATTGGCTACCGTTTGATTGTTGAGCTACAACATTTTATGTATATAATGAAACTTAACCTTCTCGTAAATTGTTAGGTTGACAAAAGATTAAGTATTTGAGAGTAGGTTTTACTGAATGGTCACATATTATATCATAATTAAAAAAAAAAATACAATCAAATTTATACACAGTGAGACTTGAATTTAGAATCTCAAGATTCTAAAACCTCCTTTATGCTGCTAAGCCGAGGCTACTGGGATAGTTTTGAACATTCAGTAATAATGGGATAGTTTTAGCGTAGAATAATTTAAGACGGGGATCATGGAATTAATTGGTAGAGAATACAAATTCTAGAGAATTGGAGAATATATGAGTCAAGTGCATAGAAAGGTATTGTCTTTGTTTAATCAATGTTGTCAAATTCATTAACTGATTCTTTTTTAACTGATTGAGATTGAGTTGCAGAAGCTTCCTTGCTTTCTTTATTCTTTTTTATGGTGAGCAGCTGCACAAATATAGATAGAGCACTGTAGCAGTTGAATTGAGGAAGTTTGGCAGAAAAGAAAATAATGGGAGAGCTATGGCTGCACAGTATTCTCTAGTGTAAGCTGGAAACATTTTAATTGATAGTTATGTTAGATAATAATCGATCTTCTATTCTGAAAGAATGAAAGAATAAGCTTGGCCTAAATTTCAATTGTTTTTTGATTAAGAGCTTTGTATCTCCATTTCTCTTTCTCCAAAAAATCAGCATCCAGGAATCGGGAAACAAATGCCCAAAGCCTATATATGTCTTCAAAATTTGTCAGGAATCCAAGTGCAGCAGTGACAACAGATATTCCAGAATGAAATTTATCTCTCTTCTTGCTTGAGGCTGTTCCTTCAGCTTCACATGTTCTTGTCTCCAATACTTTCTCCTTCTCTCCTTTATGCTTATCTGAGAACCAAATGTGTTGCAAAAATCGAATGCTTAAAGAAATGCTGTTTCTATCAGCCAGCTTTTGTACTAATGCAGGATCAATCTTCTCTCCTTTCCAATCGAATACATTAAATGCCACGGAGGGTCCTCGGTCAAATCTTATTTTGGGACCATAGATTCTGACCGCAGGTAATCCATTTTTTGAATGTGGATGTTCAAGGCTCATCAATGCATTCACCAACCAGTTGATCTGGCTCCTTGTCCTGCTGCTGATTAGTATCAGGCCTAATGAATCTGCATGATCCAAGCTTCTACATTCAACTTTCGGGTTTTCACTCTGAGGGCTATTGGTGATTTTTGAGCTAGCAGATTCAAAGGATGTATCTATTACTTCTTCAATTTCTGAAAATGATAGAGTTTTTGCTTTAGCTTTGGTTCCTTCAGTTTTCAGTAATTTAGGAGTAGTTTCATCATTACTCTGTTGAATAGATATCGGGCCTGAGAATGAACCTGGAACAGGAAATTCATCCACCTTCTTTTGGGTTTCAATGCTAGAAATAGCTGATTTTTTAGGGATTCGAGTTGGCCCTGACGGTGGGACAAGATTCACTATTCCCAGACATGTAGCAGTGGCTGAATCCTTCAAAACCGAAGCACTGGATTTCCTGATAAACAAGCAGCAGAATCCTGAGGGATTTTCTCCAAAAACCTTGAAAAATGAGCAAATTAGGAAGTCAGGATTAAAGAGAGAAAGCCCCAGGGTCTCCATGTTCTTAGCTCCCAATGCAGATGCATCAAGCAGCACATGCCACCCATTCTCCTGAGCCAGACTCATCCACAGATATGAATATCTCGATCCTGTGACACGTGACTGAAGTGGGAAAACAAAAAGACCTTTTTTCTTGTGCTTGCTTTTGTTCACTATCTTCTTTCTCAAATTTTCTGATTTAATATGTAGATTAGGCCATGAAAAATTAGCCGACATGATATTTGCTCCTCTCTTCTTGGAGCTTTCAATCATCACTTCCACAGCCTCGCTTTGATAGTCATAAACCGTGAGAAGATTTTGACTAGACTGAAATGGATACGACTCCGCCAGAAGCTTGAAAGCAGAGGATTGATTGGCAGTGATAACCATGGTGTAATCAGCTTCTGAGATATTCATAAAAGCCATGATCCTTTTCCTGATATCGGATTGAAATTCTGTCTCTTCACCACCATATAGTAGCTGTGAATTCAGGTTTACTGACTTGTAGGAAATATAAAAAAATGGTGGTTCTAAAGTAAGTGAATGTACTAGTGGAGGAGGAGAAGATGATGAAGATGCAACAGAAGATCCAGGATTTCGACTTTCAAGCTGATAATAAGAGAAAAGGCCATGGCCAATGTAGTCAAGACAGACATGCTTGGAGAGGGACAAATTATAGTATTCTTGAGCTCGGATTTTGTCAGCTTGATCCGTTTGAGAATATTGAGGGTACACTTTGTTGAAATAAGAAAACGATTCCTCAAATGATGGAAGAGACTCATGATTGGTGAATTGGAAATTTGGGTAGAAAGAAGAAGCTGTACTAACCTCAAACTCATACTGTGATGCCGCAGCAGTACTGCTTGGAATCTGTAAAGTTGCAGAATGAGACGCGGGAAGGCTCGGAAAAGGGTTTGGACAACAGCCAGAATATCGGGCTCTTGAGGCCTCTCTTGTCCAAGGTGGTTGCATTCTCTTCTATATGTTCATGTTTCTTTTGCTTCTAGTTTCATATGCCAGCTCCTGTGAGTTCATAGAGCATAAATGCAAAAAGTCTTCTATTATAAGCATTGGACAAGTTTGTCAATGGAAATCCCATCAGCAAGTCAGCATACTCAATTTAAATGACCCCGTCTTACATTCCATGGATTACAATGTTGTCCTGTTGCTAATTCATATTCTTCACCAATCGCTGACTAAATATTTAAACCTTTCCATTACTTATATCCCATCAGAAGACATCCAACACGTGTTGCTAATTAATAGAAAGTTGTATTGATTAAAGCCATTTAATTTTAAAGCTGAAATATGAAGTGCTTTTTATAGACAAATAAAAATCAAGAGAGCTGATCAATTATAAACACGAAACCGATAGAATTTGCAGTCTTAAGAAGCCTTACATTTAATTAATCAAATTTTAAAACTCACGGAATGATTCCTTTTCGTAGAAATATCCTTTTATAAACAACTGAAATGATGAAAACAAGTCAAAAGGAAAAAATAAGAAACCCAAACTAATGAAGTCATATCATCCATAAAATTGTTAATGAAGACAATATTATATACGAAGTGTTATATACAAGCCGCCCTTCTCCATCACACTTTCCGTATCAGGATGTGATTTTGCCCCTTTTCTTGAATCAAAATAGCCTTACAACGAGTCAAGGTTGGCACTAGAAAAATAGTTAGTCATGCAGATGCGAGAGAAGAAGCCAACAAGCAGAAACGGACAAGGGAAAATTCGGAAGTTGCCGGCTTTTTCATGCAAGCCAGAACCTTCGTTTTCATTATTTCTGTAACCTGCCTATTCTTTATACATTATTAATGATCGCTTGTAACTCACACTCTTACTTATGTGATATTTTTTTTTCAAAGTGTCATGTTGGACAAGTCAAGTTCAACTGCATGCGGCCCTTTATCCCACCACCGGATCATAGGCAATTTTCAATCTTTGTATCAAGAAAGACTCTTCGCCCAAGTCTTCTTTTTGTGTAATTGTAAAATTTTGGGACTTTATGTGAAACATGATTTTGTTTTCAGAGATTACTACTTTATTTTGAGAGTACATAACAAAATGTAGTAAAAAACAAAATGCTTTGCTGAATTGCTAATTAGGTCATGCAAATAGTACGTAGCTTAAGCACAAATTAATTATGAAGCTTATACGAATTAAATTAATTGTGATGGATAATGATCCATATGATCATCTGCCCCACAGGCCACAAGATTCATTAGCATGTGCAAATACTTTAGAACATTCATTACAATTTGAGTCTTGAAATTTTAAATGTATAATCAGTTATTACGTGTTTGAATTAGAGGTACGGTTTAGAATTGTATCCACTATCCATACCAATTTTCTTCAGCTTCTTCATTTTTTCCATTGTGTACGAAGTAAAACAACTCAATAAAGATTGAAAAGGACCAAGAACGATAAGAAAATTATAATACCCTTCTCTTACTTTGACAATTACAAAAATGAAGACTTGTTCACATCCCTCACAATGTGTTAAAACTATGATTTGCCATAGATTTCTTCTATACCTAAAATGTATTTAAAGAACGAGAGAAGATAGCCTTAACCCTCAATCTATCAAAGAAATAAATCCTGTGTCCTAAATTTTATAAGTAAAAAAATTTAAAAGTATCTACATCATATATATATATATATATAGGAAAGAGGGTTGTAAAAATCTGTTGAGAATCAGATTCAAACCCATGCTCTTTGAAACGAGAACAGTCCCGCTCTTTAGACCAACTCGGCAACTTTTTTTTTTCCTTATAATTTGTCGTTCATGGAGTTGAAATCGTGCATCTATCCAACATGAGGTATTCTTGAAAGGATAAAAGAGGAAAGAGAGCGGCTAGATACAAAAACAGGGAGTATTTTGTGTTTGTAATTTCGCCCATAAGTTAGAGATCAAAATTAAAAAGATTAATAAGAGAGAAATATAAAAAATTTAAAAATATATTGAACTTAAAATGATAATATTTGAATATTTATATTTATAAATGAGAGACAAAAGATCACCGAGAATAATAATAACGTAATTAAATTAATTTGACATGAAATATATAAAATTATGAGCTTAAATATTTGAAATATCTCTAATTGTATATTGATAGGCTCTAATAAAAAAAAATCATAATATTTTTTTTTTACCACTAAATGCCACGGTAAGAACTGCTAATGTGTAATCAACCCTTTTTTTTGTTCTTCGGGTGAGGGGGGGAACATTACTGTAGCAATGGGGCTGAGCATTTGGAACTCCCGTTAATTTCCACCGTCCTTGGGGAAGATTTAGAGTCAGATTCAAATAACGTGCCTAGAATTCTTATCAGGATTCACACTCCATTTTCCAATCCAGAAAGTAAAGAGTCAAATGAAACTCAGCAACGTCAATAGTTCAGGCCCCCACAATAAATGTGAAGCCAAATAATAATATTCATAGCCCGAAGTCTCTTGCAAGTTGCAACAAGATCCCAGGCCCCAGGCTCTTGCCGGCTTGCTGCCATGGGATTCCAATTAGCATTAATGCCAACCCATATTCAAATTTAACCCAGCTGTCCTCATGTGGTGGTATCTCCCAAATCCCAACTTTACAGAATTAAGGGTGCTGTTATTACCGTAGTGTTGTTTTATTGGTTGAGTTATGACGCATCAGTTTCTCTTAATTAGGTACATTTAAAACCAGGCAATATATATCCAACCATCGCAGATTATAATTACGTTTTTGTTCGTCGGTAGTCTTACAGTGTGTCTGAATCGAGAGAAGAGGAGGGAAAGAAAAGTAAAATAAAAAACTATAGAGAAAAATTTTTTTTTTTCTTATTTGAATAAATTTTTAATTTTAAAAAAAGTGAAAATCAATTAACTTTTGATTTAATTTATAAATCCAATTTTTTTAATATTTCAATTTGAAGGAAAAGTTAAGAAAAAGAAAGTTGAAAAATACTTTTTTTATAAAAAGATTATTATATCTATCTTTTTATTAATACTAGAAACCTAATAAAAAAATTTAAACAGATCAAAATCATCTTGTAATTTTTTTAAAGTCATCTTTTTTTAAGTAAGTTTCACATATCTCTTTCAATATACAAATTTTTTAAAATTTTTTGATGATTTGATTTTGATGAATGATTGGATATGAATAAATATATTTTTTAAATTTATGAGATGATTGACTAACTCAAAATCTATTAATACATGTTTGTAAAATATATTCTTGTTTCATTTGATTAAAAATCATTGATATAGTAGTAATTATGAGATCAGACAAAATAACAAATATATCATGATTCAAGAGTATTCTAAAGTCACAAGCAATGAAAAGTTATAATTGAAAAAAATATTATAATGAATCATTTTTTTTCTGTTTCACTCATTATCCAAACAATGATTCTTAAAAAAATTTCTTTTTATTAATTTTAATTATCTAAACAAGAGTTATATACTTTTTTTTTGTTTTAAAAACTTTTTTTTTATTAATATTTATCCAAATATAACGTTAAAGTAATTATATTAACCCTTCCATGTTCAAGATAAGGGGTTCTCTCATTTATAGTATTATATAGAAAAGATTTTTCCCAAGCTCATAAAGAACTACATTGAGCAATGTAGTTCATCCATTAGTAAGCCATTGAGCAATGTTCTAATTAAGTCCTTTTCACTCGTGTGAGATATAAAGTTGAGGTAACCAGTATATTGCATAAGTAGATTTCTTTTCTCTGAATGATTAAAAACCAATACGTTCTGCTAGTTTCTCCGTGTAGCATATCTATTATGCCAAGCCTGTCGTATATATCCTCTAGATGAATGTGGTGGAGGGTCCAATTTAACTCTGTGACGAAAGACTTAACCTATTATCTATGGTTGGCTGTATTGTTTTGCCATAAATGCTTTTCCACTTTTTCTTCCTCTTTGGTCTTAACTAGCACAGTCATGTTACAGGAGGAATAAATTGGAAGTTATATAAGAAAGTAAAAGCTACACAACTGTGCTGGGTAACATGGTGAATGTGATTTTCCATACGCAATATAATTGCAAGCACAAATTGATCCAGCTGTAATTCATCCAGTAGTGCATTATCATGTTTGGTTATATTTATATAGTTTCTTTGCTTGACGACGCATTAGGACAAGTAGGACTCTCTTTAATTTCTTTAAAAAAGTCGACAACCCTGCGAGTAGGACTTTCCCAAAGAAGCTATCCCGTTTGGGTCAAGTTAATTTGGTTGCTATTTCTTGTAAGTAAAAATCAGTGGATGTTCAAAATGTAAGACTAGTAGAATCCATTATCAATCCAAAATTTGTTATACATATGAAGACAACTATATATATTCCTAATCTCGCTTAGAGTTTTTAGTACTCCTTTGAAGCACAAGTTAAAAATCACAGAAAAACAGTGATATAGATTATGGCATCCCCAAAAATGTTGGCAAAGCATGACATGTGAACTCTTACTTGAAGATTAACAGATGAACTGATATGAAGATATATTTCCATACTGCTGAAAAATGAAGATTATAATCATGTGTCATACAGAAGAACATAAGGCAAATTTACTCTCCTAGAGACCATAGATCCTAGCTAATCAGAACAAAAACCACACATTAAAAATGAAAATATCATACCTTTCGAATGAGCTATGAACATAGGGCGTTGGGAGATTTATTAAGTTGAATCAGTTAAAGGGCAACTCTCCTTTGGCGGGTTATCGTTGAATACAAGAATTAGATCTTGATTTATCGTCTACAAACATAACCTGCCAACAGGAGAGAAGCCCTACAACTAGTTCACTTAGTGATAATTTTCATTGTCTTGTGGCACCAAAAAAATAAATAAATAAAGGTTTAAACTGCGTGCCTAGCTACTAGCTCTTGGTTTTAGATGAAGGGTGTAGCAAGAGATTTATAGGATCTTCTTTAAGAGATCTACCAATGGGATAAGTTGTTTAAGACATAGCATATGCCGAGGATATCCTTTGGTGCCTCCTTTCTACGCATTTCATGCAAAGGCTCCTTTTATGTGAAAAAGCCTCTCACAGATGTTTGACAGATTCTTCTATATACTTAGCATGATTTAGACCTGTGAATGTTGTCGATATTTCTCTTTCTTTCTTTCTTTCAGCTGTGTCCATACCCATGCATGGAGGGTGAAGGTAGAAGAGCAAAAGCAGTCAAGAAGAGATGCCTAGCTTTTCTCTGCAGTAGGCGGCAGCAAAACCTGGGCCTAGAGGCCAGTATATCCTTTGTAATATTCTTTTCTGTTTTAAATTGCTCTAAGATTTTTTCTGGACATCGTCAATTTGGAAATCCAAATTCATAACCTTCGGTGACCATGTAATCTTCTTTGTCCAATGAGAATATTTCCCTGGAGAATTTCAAATTATTTGCATTTTCCCCTTTGTCTTCCACCTGAAATAACTCCCATCCTTCTCTTTTTTCTTCACCGTCCCAAGTCAAAATCATTGCTTCTTTACAAGGATTATATACTAACAGCTGGTAGCGACTAAATATTCTCTGCAATCTGGACAGGGAGAATAACATTTATTTATTTATTTATTGTTTTACGGATGAGGGGTGTCCTTGCATACTGATACATCAAAATCCCAGATAAAACCAGAGAATTTGTCAAAGCAATGTGATTGCTTTTACACAGGGATATTTAGTACTCTGGACCTGTGAATTTTTTATATGATCACTGAGCTTATTTCGTTTTTCATATATGTTCTCTTGCTCTTATACATCTTGATGTACGTTCTATCGATCACTAAACCAAATTACAACAAGGGAAAACAATTGCACAACAAAAACATACTACTAACATTTCTCAATGTCAGCCATTCATAAATGCGACTATTGACAAATGGTTTAAACCTCACATTCTGGACCACACAAGCGTAATAAGAAGTAGAACTAATCAAAAACACCATTTCTTAATCAAAGTAAGGAAATTAAACCATCATCAATCACGTGGGATCTTAATTGGCTAGTCTTTCACTCAATATCTTCACACCCATGTACCTGCATCACATTGTTAAATTAAAATGTCAATTCAACAACCCACTTAATTCATGCCATAACTGATAATTTTAGCATGCCATTAATTCAAAGAATAATTTTAATGCCTTAAGTTTGAAATGAAGCATCTCATATTTACAAAAGGTTGCAAAGCTGAATATATAGGTCGTAATTAATTACCTTCCAAGCATCATGACAGTGGCCTGAGGATTAGTCCCAGGCGAGTAGTTGAACGTGGATCCATCGATAACCCTTAGAGCATCCACACCAAGTAACTTGTGGTCAAGATCAACAACTTTACCAACCTGGCAGCCTCCATGGTAGTGCCATATGGTCATCACAGTGCCCTTGCAAAACTCTTCCAGTGGCATTGAGGGATTGTAATGTTTAGGCAACAAATTTAGTGGGGCACTTGCTGTCATATTGAGAAGTATTGGCCAAGACAAATAGTCATATCTGAATTTAGAGAAAGACTTTGATTCAATAATTTTCTTTATGGTTTGAATTCCTTGGACACATCTTTGTAGGTCTCGAGGATCCTTGAAATAATTGAATGTAACGGATGGATTGTCGTTTGGGTTACGGGTTCGAAGCTCCAAATGGCCTGTTGAAATCGGACCCATAACTTTTTCTAGGATAAATCCACCTCTAAAAGCTGCCTCTTCAAGATTATTCATGTATTCAACAGCTTTGCCTATGGCTTCTTGGGTCCTTTGTTTTGGTGGCACCGTAGATAGCTGACCAATCTGCATAGTGAACAAAAAATAAAAAGAAAAATACTACCAAAATTGTAAATAAAAAAAATGAAAATGAAAAATTGCTCCTCGGGCTAACTGGTTATGGCTAAAAGCATGCCCTATCATATATGTTCATTTGTGTAAAAAGGTTACCCTCAAGGCTTTGAGGTCCCAAACTAGGCTTAAATGGAAACGTTATACCTGAGGTGAGAACTTCACATAATCTCTTGGAGAAGAAGCACCACCAGCAAAGTTTTCGCCACTGGCGGCTTCAATGTAGCTTCCAAAATCGGTTATACCAACGACCTGGATAAGTGAAACCTCTACTGGAAGAGGAGATGGGATAAAAACAGCATTCATGGGGTTATCAGACATGCCTTGTCCAACCTGGGGTTGGTCTAGCACCAAGGTGATGTTATGGGCCTTGAGATGGGCTGCAGGCCCCACGCCACTTAACATCAGCAGCTGTGGGCTTCCCAATGCTCCAGCGGATATAATTATCTCGTTTTTGGATCCTTCTTTAAGATATGCTTTGTGCTTGGCCCCTGTTGCGTCCCTGAAACTCACTCCATGGGCCTTCCGTCTTCCTTTCCCTATTATTGAAATGGATTATGAAAACTTCGCTCTGTTAAAGTTTAGAATTTGAGCTACAAAGTAACTACCTTTTATTGCAAACAAGATTTTGTGAACAGAAGCGTGCAAAAGGACAGTGAGCCCACTGGGGTTAGCATAGTCCAATAAATCAGCAGCTGTGTGCCTATTCCCTTGTTGATCGAATATTGTTCCACCAACTTTGGTCCCATAAGTATGGTCGTAAGTGAACCCATTGAATGGCACCACCCCAGCTTCCACCAGACCATCCCTCACGGCTGACTGCCACATCCCCAATGGTGGCTCAAATGCCACTAATTTCTCCACCCATTGGTATGATTCATTCACTAATTGTCCATCCCAACCCACATGCCTAATAATGAACAATAGCAAAAAAAAAAAAAAAAAGCTGTGTTTTGAAATCAAATTTCAAGGTTAAATAGAAATTTTAATATTCATGGGCCGTTATTTAGTATTGGGTTTTTTAAACTTGGTCTACAACTCTTATATAAGTGCGTAGTTTTCTTGACTTTTCAGCTATTGTACAACTTGGTACCTGACATATTCAGGGGCAGCGCGTGTGTAAAACCCTGCATTGATACAACTTCCGCCACCCAAAACGCGCGCGCGTGCATTAATAACGCCATCTTCAGAGATGAACCGTTGTGATGGGGACGACCTGGAAATGTCGGAGAGGGCAGCACCGAAGCTGGCCATGCTGGTGATGTTGGAGTTACTATAGGGGGAGCCACCTCGTTCAAGGAGCAAGACGGTGGCATTTTGAGATAAAGTGGCAGCTAAGGGGCATCCGGCCGTCCCACCACCGACAATAATGTAGTCGTAATATGATAAGGTTGGAGCTGATGTTGCATTTTGCATGAAGGAGTAGTTTGGAGCTGTTGGGATATAGACATTGATGTATAGTTTAGGCCTCACGTTAATTTAGGCATGAAAATGATATTATAGTAACACAATATTAGATTTGATAATTTATGGTGAATATGATATAAAAATAATAAATTTTAAAATTTTAATAATAATTATATATGTGTTTAATAAAAAAATATATTTTTAAAAAATAAAATCATAATACCAAAATAAAAATAAATTATAAGTATCAAAATTTAAATTTTAAATTTATTAAATAATATTTTATAAATATTATTGTATCTAATTTATTTTTTATTATATGATAAGTTGTATTTATTTTTATTTTTTAAAAAAGTATTTATTTTTACTTAAAACAGCCTACGTGGGCTTGCAAAGAAGATATTCATAATGTTTCTTTTAACTTAAAAGTGCACTAATTCAAGGGAAAAATGGGATGAGAAAAAGACATGAATGTATAATGATGTGTTATAAAATGATGGACCTACTGGGTAGGTGTTGAAACTATAAACATTATACAGAATAAAAGTAGAACTAACAAGCATGGTGTGTGGATTCCAGGGATGCAGATTATTTCTAGTCTTAAAAGCCCCAACTGTGGAGGCGGCATTAATACGGCAAAAAGTTTTATTTTAGTAAACAATAAATGAAATGGGTCCATGATGCAATTCACAAATGCCACTCTTACATGTTATAAAAATAATAAGTACTTAAAAAATAAGAAAAAATATTAACTCATGCTTAATTAATGATATCGATTAAAGTGATATTTAAAAAAATTATAATTGATATATTGTTTCTTATTATATTTGGTGGAAACAAAAAATTCAAGATAAATTTTAAAATAATATTTAAATTTATCTTTTTAAACTTAGGTCTATAGACACCTGTTAACCCATAAAAAAAAAAAGAAAAATACTTATAATTTGGTTATTAGTATTAATTATGTCCATTAAAATCTATATGATAAGAGTACCATTAATGGCATAATTATAAGAAAGTGTTTTGCTCGAAAACGATCCTTCATTTACTGGACAAAAACACAGCTTACATCATTTCTGAACGCTGAAGCTGTGCAGTGTCTGGAACGTTTTGAAGTAATGAAATATTTGGCTAAAAAATATATAAATATTCTGAACACTGAAAAAAAAATTGCCTGGTTGGCCTCCATTGGAATTGGATTATCTGATATAATAATTGCTTGTTAAAAAAATTAGATTAGGCATGTAATTCCTATTAACATTATTAATTACTACTTATTTAGTATTAGAATGCATAGCCTTGTAATTTGGTGAGGACTAGTTTTACTCTGAAGGGGGTGAACAATAGCTGTAAACCACAAAAACCAAAAAAAAAAAGAAGAACACCTCAGATAAAACCAACCCATGTGCGAATTTCTTGGCTTCCTACAATATGTCGTTGCTTGAGAAATACTATGTATGTATTTGCATTATATTGGCCATAGCCGGAAAAGAAGTAAAAGAATGAAGAAGATTTTAATGAATACCTTTTTCAGAAGCAGAAAAGCCATGAAAGAAGAGAAATCCAGCAAAGGCAGCAGCAACAAGTCTCCACCACCCAAGACTCATTGTCCCAAAATGACAACTGAAAAAGCAAGACTCAGTTAAAAATGATTGAGATATTGCTCAATGTTTACTAACAAAAAAACAAACCTTATATGTATATATAATATATAAAGAAATTTAAAGGCAGCAACAATCTCCAAGGGAGATAGGTTGTGGGAACAAAGATTCTTGCTTGTTTTTATCTGTCATACAAGAGAACCCAAGTTGAAATATATCCAATTATCCACTCTTTCAGGGAACAGCTTCGGGAAATGTTCAAGAAACGCACAAAATGTGATCCCTAGTACCTAATCGAGCAACCCAATTGCAGGACAGCTAAAGTTAATTCTACTACTACTTCTTCTGCCCCTGGAAAAAGAGAAGGCTAGGAAATGAAAACTTGGGGTAAGTTACTCACTGAAGTTGAAGTTGACTGATTTCAAATGTAATTATTCTTCACTTACAGAATTTCTTTGCTAGCTATATATATATATACGTAGACGTTGTATAGACAAAGAAGTGGGGGAAAGGCGGCAGTTGGGTGTTGTTTAATGCACTCAATGGCTGATAGCTGCAAATATCCGGAGGTTTTACTTAAGTTTAAAAAAAAAAAAAGAACCAATGTCACACATGCTTTTACTTGTATTACACTATTTACTTGCTTTCGTTTTGATGGTTAAGGAAGGGAGTTTTGCTTTGTTTTTTTTTTTTTTTAACCGAAAGCGTCTTCAGAGAAAGGTTTAATAATGGTTGTGATAATAACTAAGTTTATTGTTTATTGAACTATTATAAATTGATAGTTCATAAATAAAAAATTCTGTATGTGAATAATGCATTTAGCATTTTCATTGATACATAGGCTTAGTCACTGCTATTAAGACTATTGATTTGTAGTCAATACTACCTAATTTTCATTAAAAAAACACAATTCTGACCATTTGCATATAATTACTTAAATCCAAGCTATATTTAGTAGTTTTTTTAAAAGGAGTAGTTAATTAAGAGTAAATAATAAATATTTTATAGTTACATGCTTTTTTTTTTTTTTGGAAGATATTATCTACAATCATTATAATGCAATTATAATCTAACATTGGGTAGGATTCATAAAAATTATGTATAATCACACTTTTAAGTGATAAATTTTTGTTTACTTCTTTTTTATGATTGATTAATTGAAGAATTGCAATAAAAGCAATTATAAATAAAATAATTTTTTTATACTAAAACGTGTGCCATAACTTTTTTCTATCTAAATCTCACTCAATCCTTATCACTTTGAGTTTTAAGGGATTTTCACGTTTCTCTTTTGACATAAAACATAAAGAAAATCACCGGTTGAGTACAGTATCAAAATTGATAGCTGCAGCTCTTATCAATATGAGACCTCCAAAGTTAAAATTTCTTTACTTAAACAATAATAAAAAAAAAAACTAAATTTGACCCATATATAAAAGAGAGAGATGATCTAGAATTAGAAGCTTTTTATAATGAGGAATCAACTTACATAATGTAAATTTTTTTTAATTTTATATATTTTCAATTATTGATCTCAATATAAATTAAATTAAATTATTTTTAATTTACCTTTCTCATTTTTTAAATTTATTAAAATCAAAAATTAAAAAATATATAAAATTTTTTATTTAATACTATTTAGATCCCTCCTCATTTTATAATTACATTACGATCATTAATTAATATAAATCAAAGACTCATTGATGGTAAATCTATGCATAGATAGGATCGGGCCCGTTTGACATTTCAAAAAACTTGAGGCTTGGGTATTCAAGAGTAGAACTAGGGTTTTTTTAAATATATATTAAAATATTAATAGTTTTGATATTTTTAAATATAGTTTAAAATTAAAATTAATAAAAAATTATTAATAAAATAAATTTTTAGATAAAACTTGAACATCAAAATTTATATTCAAAACCTAATCCAAATCGTTCCAAATCAATAAATCAAACGAACAATTCGACTTAAGATATATTGAAGAGTTAACATTAAAATTTAAAGACTTTTGTCTGGGGTTGTAAATTTACAAAATTTTTGATGAATAATTCATAATTATATTTTATTTTTTTATTTATTAAATTTAACAAATAATCTTCAATAATAATTTTATATTTATTTATTAAACGAATCGAATACAAACAAAGATTTATATGATTTATTTATATTCATAAATAAGCTCATTTAAAATTCATTTATAGCCCATTCATTTATTATTTATTTACTATTCGTTTATAATAATATTAACAAAAATATATTTTTATCTTTTACCTTAATCTTATTTTAAAATCTTTTATATTTGTTTAGATTTATTTGTATTCGTTTAAATTTTATTTATTTAAATTTATTTAATTATGATTTATTTATTATTTATGAGCATGCACGTTTATATATATTTATAATAATGCTCGTTTAATATTTATAAACGTATTTGTTTAACTAAATCAAACCAATATGAATCAAAATGTGAATAATTTATTATTTAAATGAATTAAACTCATATGAACAAAATAATTTTTTTATCAAACATGAATCAAATTCGAATACCTTTAAAAATAAACAAACAAATAACAAATATACGTTCCATCATGCCCAATTCATTTCCAGCTCTAGTTTTTGTCAATATCAATTAGTTGCAATATAGTAATTATTGAAATAGGGGAAAGATGATAATTAATTAAACCCAACCAACCGTAAAGGGTAGCCCTCATGGACTTAATGGCCATAGAGCTAGTTCAAACTTGGACTTCTGTTTAGCTGGAACATCAAGTAAACCAATTTCAACATTAATCATCAATTATTGTAGCTTAAGGTTGGTAGCTGTCATTTTTCTTTCGGTCGGCTAAAGCCCGTTTGAGCACAATCAGTCAAGTCCTAAACCATATGATCGCCCTCCCAAACGGGTTTTAGTCCATATATTGAAGCTTGCATTTGTGGTTGGGATGTGAACCAACCGCGATGCCACTCTCAAAACTTTTAAATTGATGTATTTTAAAATACATTCGCTTCAAAATTTTGAAATTTCTCATCTAAATGCACTTTGAAAAGAAAAACAACTTAATGTTACTAAAATACAATTATAGAAGATAACCAATGCTCAAGTTTCCCACAGTATACGGCATTGATAAGAAAAAGAATAATAAAAACAAATAATAGAAGAGGGAACAAAATCAAGGATGGATTTGTGAAAGGAATAATGAATTTTCCCTTGAATTGATCAATATAAAGAGTTGTAGGTAAAGCATGTAGCAACAATAGAGGCGACGCATATCAGTAGTGAAGGAAGTAGAGTGATATTCAAAAGTTGGCTCTGACCTAAGTACCCAGCCAGCGTTATTGTGGCATCCGCAATCACTCGAGCAATAGTCCCAGCTTCTGTTGACAACAGTCCACCATTGTAGGTTCCACGGGAGAGCCTAGATGACATTACTCGAGAAAGCAGTGACAAGTTGACACCTGAGGGCAACAAAAAATACAAGAACAAAACCCGAATCAATAAAGAAAATCAGCTTTACTCTAGTTTGACAAAGGAACAAACTCTTCCCTTCTTAGCAAAAAAAAAAAAAAGGGGGAAAACGAAACAACAGTACACAATTGTTCTTTATAAGAGAAAAGTACGCCTGTGAATTCTACCAGTTCTTTATGCACCATACCTTTCTCGGAAAATTAATTGTTATATGAACGACAAAATGAAATTAAATAATAACTACCTTCGAGTACTTCAGCAGAAACAAACATGATGAGACCTGAGCAGACATACTGGGGCACGGTGTATGGTATTATTATGTGGAAGCTTAACAATATGCCTATGCAAACCATAATTTCAGATGCCATTAAAATTTGCCTGCAATGAACCAATGAAAATGGATGCATCAGACAAACAATTCCAGAGCTCAAGATCAACAGAGATGAATACTAATGTAAAATAAATTAAAATTGAAAGGGCGCAGGCTGTTAAAAAATACCTGTCTTCAAACATATTGCTAATGTAGCTCCCAACAACAATGTTTACTGGAAGAACTGTTAAGCCAAGACATGCAAGAAAGATGGCTACCGTGCTAGTAGACCAGTGGAAGTAGTATGTGGTGATGACACTAGATTCTGAGAGTAAAATTTCCATCGCATACTTGAGCATGAAATATATCAACAACTGAACCTGATGATATTATAAGAATTCAAGTCAGAGAACATTCAAATCTTGAAAGTATTTAAGCTACTCAGAGATGTAATAGATCTATTCTTAAAATTTCTATACTTAGCTCATTTTATTGGGCTAAACCAATACACAAGTACAAGAAGTAGATAATCAGGAATAATGCTTGTTAACCACTGGCAGTCCGGTAGGTCACATTTCCATAACAAGCAAAATAGAAACATAAACATCTCGCATGTCTACTCTTTTTCTCATTTAAGCATGCTTACTACTTTGATACTACAAGATGCACACTTGACAAATCTATAGAAGATTTCAAACGCGAGCCAGCTTTTGATTAATTGTATACCTTTACTGAGGGTGTAAGTAGTCTATAAGCTGATTTAATTGATGTAGCTGGTTGACGAGATTCCTCAGAAGCTTCTTCACTTCCATCACCTTCTGGGTCTTCATCATCTTCTTCCTTCTCTTCTGAAGTAATGAGCAATGGTTGTTTAAGACCTTTCTCAAGCACATCGTTTTCTGCTGGTTCTGTATTTACATGGTAAAACATGCAAATCAATCATTTTAATGCATTGCTTAGCATGTCAAGTTATCAAATAAAATAATCACCATGGCAAAAGCAAAAAAGGTAGAGGTCCAAAAACAATTTTTGGGTTTTAAATTAAACAAACCGAAACACCTTGATCTGTGATAAATATAGAATTGTATATATGCATACACCTATCAAGCCAAAAGGTGATTGATAGAAGAACACATACCAGAACTAGATACATGAGGTGAATTATTCTCTTCAATATCCCGAGATGGTTCTTTAAATGAGATCCACAACCACATCAGATATACAAGCCAAGCAACAGCCATAACCCATCCAGGCAAAGTGGCTTCGTTAAATGTAAACTTGTAAATCTTGAAATTTGTCTGAAGTATGCCAGCAAGAGCAGGACCACAGGCCATACCCAAAGCACTGGCACTAACAAAGCCAGCTGATGCCTGCATTCGGATTTTTAATGGTACACAATCACTGATATACCGGCGGTTAACAGCTCTAGCAGAACCGAATCTGCAATGACAAGATTAACTTTATCAAGCTACATGGTGAAAGTGAAAACGAACTATATCTCCTAGTCTCTTAAACTGATAAGATTCATTGGTTAAGCTCGATTTGAGTCCTCAAATCATATTTAATCTCCAATCCTATTCCTACTCTGCATAATTCCAATAAGTTTCAGGTTTGCCGTACATATAATATATTAAATATAATCCAAGAAGAGAAATTTTGGACTGGTTAGCTTACAGTCATTATTCACTAAGAGGTTCTACCATACTGCAGTCTACATTGATTAAAACAAGCTTTAAATATGTCTAAACAATGACTCTGCCACATCAATCAGTATAGGTGCTGTGAGTTCTGACATGAAGAAAAGAAGATAAAGAGGAAGAAAATTTACCCACAAAAAAGCCGACCCAGTAGAAGAACTGTTAATGAGTTCAGATCATAAGCCATTGCATACATGGTATTTCCCACAAGTAGGACAATACTGCTAAATATGAGAGGTCTGAAGTATGATCTATTAGACCACGCACTAAAATACACCGAAGAAAACACCTGTGCAACAGCCATTGCCCCAATAACGATACCACAAACAGTTGCAGCAGCTCCAAGCCTCATGGAATAGTCATCTGCTGTGGGGACAATAATATATGTATTGACCATATAAAGGAACGTGTTTGCTAAGTTCAGGAGGAGTGACATAAAATGGTATCTCTCTTCATCAATGTGTTCCTCAACAGGAGCAGGTAGTTCTTCTTGCATAATGAGAGCATGTTGTGCCAGAAAGTTTAGAAAGTTTGTAGAGTGAGTTAACCTATCCACAGCTGCTTTTATTGCATCAACCACAGGATCCTGTGGACCGCCCAAGTAAAATAGCATAGCCATAGCCTTAGTACCATACAGCATTTTTTGTAGATGAAGTAAAATGACAAATTATTACAAGTAAATATAGGAAAAACCTGGAGAGGAAGGGCAGGCGGATCATAAATTGATAAGTAGCTTCCTTGTCGGTCCTGGAGTTCATGAAGATTACGAGATATTGCCCCAACAACAGCCCCTAAACCCTGCAAATTATAAAATTGGAAAGTAAGCTTACAGGGTACTAGCTAAAAGTGCCTCGCGTACCCCACTATTACATGCTGAGCAAAAGCTGGATAGGGAAGCCCCATCTACAAGCCTTAGTCAAGACAAATAGAAATGACTAAAAGGAAAAGCAAAGCCTGTCTTGAGTTTGACACATTACCACGTGCTTGAACACTTGCTGCAGCTGAGAGTAAGGATGATTAGCACGAGTTTTGACATAGTAATCGGTGAATCTATAGCGAAAGCGTTTATCAAACTTCTTCAATATCTTTCGCAGACCAATAGCATTCATCTCAACAAAATAGAGAAGCTTCAGAAGATCTTGTCCCACAACTCTATAAGCCTCTCTTAGTTCAGTTATTTGGGATATTTCTGGCTGCTCATCAAGTGCATCATGCTGTTCTCTAAGCTTTGTTAACCTGCTTGCAAGTTGGCCTTGTTTCTCCAACAGAAAAAGGACAATCTTCTCAATCTAAAATTATAAAGTATGAGAAATACATCAGATTCAGCCTTGGGAAAGGCATTTTTCATGATTCTATCATATGGTAGTGAGCCATGCAAGAAGCCCCACTATGCCAGTATTCACCTGGGAATGGTGCAAAAGGAGCATATAGAAACAAGTATGAAAATAGACAAAATGTCCTTGAACCAAAGGGTATGTTGAAGTGGTAAAATATGCCTAAATTCTCTGATAAGACCACCATTAACTCTATGATCAATTACATAATCTCTATTTAGATTAAATCTTTATATGGAGGCACTTTACTTCCCCTGGGTCATGACACATCTCATTGCCCACATGGACCATTTTAAAGCAATGGTTTACCAGTTAAAAAGAGGCATTAAAATGTGATTCAACAAACTAGCAGCAAAAGACAGATAATATAAAGGATAAGCTGCATAAATTACCATAATCATATCTATATTCTACCCCCTATATTTTCAATATCAACTCTTTTCCCCTTAATCCATGAATAGTAAAAAGAAATGACTAGGAGAGTAACTCTAAAGAAAATCTAAATTTAGTACAAGAGTGAAGCAAATTAGATTTCCAAAGGCATGATATCATTATGTTTATAATGGTGTTTCCATAGTATACCATATTATTCAAGCTTTTGGTCTTAGGTTTCCATGAATAAAGTAGATGCAGATACTTCGACGTTCATTTTTTGAAATACCTGATTATCCAGCATTCTTGAGAAATCCTTGAGAACATGTCGGCGATCTTGTGTCCCAACTTCAATTTGATGAGCATACTGTTTGACTTTCTTCTTCATTAATTTGTAGTTTATGTAAAAGCTGCAAAAGAATAAAAATTTGACCACATGATAAAATATTCTCACCACTAATAGTATCAAGTTTGTCAACATGCAAAACAACCTATCTCTCTCACAGTCTCAGTCACACATTTATGGTTTGGTTTGTATTAGGAAAGAAAAGCTCTGTGAGATTAATCTTGATTGAAGACATTAAAAAAAATTGTTAAATTATATAGACAGAAACATGTAAATTCTTCACGCTCACATATGATTGATCATTGCCAATCAAGCACTGTATACTATCAGGGAAGGTAACAATTAGTTGTAACCACATAAAATTCATTAAAAGATGTCATAATAAAATATGTTAAACTACAACTCGCAGCATGTTGTACAATGAAAAAGCAGAATGTTAATACAGGGGAAAACTATAAAAACACATAATATATAGGAAACAATTTAACAACAATATACACCAATATACACAAAAATAAGAATATATCAAACATACCGTTGCCATTCCTGAATTTGTCTTTCCTTTAACTTCTTCCCAAAGGCAACCATCTCTCACTACGCATAATTGAAGTAAATATTAAAGAAGGCTGAAAGAATAACTATACAACATATGCAGTCTTTGCAATATAAAGTAGAACACAGGAGAACAAGTTTGAAACTGAAGCTAACCGGGTAAAAGAAAATAATATATTAACGGTTATTCTTTTTCTGCTCATACAGTTATCACTAAAGCAGCAGTCTCCCTGCCAACTAAGACTTCGACATTTTTCAAGTATTTTCAGGGTGTAATGAATTCTCTTAAAATGTACAGCTCAAGCATCAACATTTCAAAAGAAGTAAACTCTTTCCAACGCAATTAAGCATTACTGCTTAAATGAGGACATGCTAGCTGGAGTGGAAACAAAATATCCATGAAATAAACACCAGTCATTTACTAAAATCTGTAAGTTAAAATATTCCTGCAGTTAGACAGTTCAGGGCTACAACCTGCTGGATATTTCATATAATCATCTTTGACAATTGAAATATAAAATGAAAGAGTATAAATTATGTATTTTTATGATTAAAACAGTGTATACCCTTATAGTCCTAATATTCACAACAGTGCATTTGAATCCAATAAAGTCAACATAAGCTAGTACAGCTGCTGCACATTTTGCACTTAAACCAAATTCTAAATTTTCAAGCAATTTTTAGAATAGATTTTTTGGGAAAAAGTGCTTCCACATACATGTAAAAATAGAAGACAAATGAAAATATGCTACCACATTTTTATTTATATCAAATCCCACATTATCTCATGTACCAAAAAAAAAAAAACTACACACAGTGGACCACAGCTTTTCGAAGACTATTCCAAAGCAATAAATATTACCATATAAAATCTAAATACGTCACTGACTCTTAAGAAAAGATTAGGACCAGGTGCAATTTAGCAGCAGATTCATGAAACTAAAAGTCTCATTTTAATTAATTTTCCCAAACATTTAAAAACTTAATGCTTATCATTAAACCAAATATAAGCTGGCTTCCACTATTAATAATTGATAAATAGAAATTGCATTTACTGTACATATAATAGAATTGAATTATCACTGTATCCAACGCCACCATAATTGACTTGGTCAGCGAAATTATGAGTTTGTGGTTGTTAGTAATTACTGAGTAAACAACAAAAGCTGAGTCAATTATTTAAGTTTGTGGTTCTTGGTTATTACTGATTAAAAAACAAAAACTGAATCAATTATCCAAAAGCAACTTTTTCATCGTCAGTGAATTAAAATAGTTTTGCAGTTGTAACTGAAATAATTAACAAAGGAACTCTTTTAATGATTTATACTGATGAGGATTAAAAGAAAGAAACAAAAAAAAATCAAAAGCTACGTTAAAATCATTGAGTATGGCAAATTTTAGAGATTTCTAATGATGCTCTATCCGTTTGTGAATGAGATAAACTCGAGAAAAGAAAAAAGGAAACTCGAAAACTCGAAATCTTTTACTAACGAAATGAAGGATGCGAAACTGAACGAAGCAGAAGAATAAATCGAACGTCCTTATTTGTTTTCTCAGCAACCAAACAGAGCCAAAAGAAAAAAAAACGAAAAATAAAAAGATAAAAAAAGAAAGAAAGAAATGCGTTACCTGATGAAGCAAATCAAAACCGCTCTCAGATTATCTTTTAAAACGAACTTAGATAGAGCATCGACGAAGAAGAAGAAAAAGAAACAAAATACCGATTTAAAGAATCGAGAAAATCTGGCCACCTTTGAAGGGATGAGAAGGAGAGGTGGGAAAATAGAGGGGGATTTTATTTATGGATTTTTTTTTTTGGTTAATAGTATTGTAGATAGAGAAAAGCGGATCTTTTTACTTATCAAATTCTTTTAAAGGGGACACAGATGGAATTTTGGGCAATAGTTTTGGGCGAAGAAGGAATGAATGTTGGTTTTGTTTTGATAATTAAAAGGCGGAAAGTGGAAAATCATTGTCGGGATTCAGGTCTCATCGTTATATTTATTATTTACCCGAATATTAATATTATTAATGATTTTTAAATTACAATAAATATTTATTTTAATATTTAAAATTAAAAAATTTATATAATATTTAAATTAAGAATATGATAATTAACATTAATATAATATTTAAAATTTATTTATTTATAATACATTATTATTTAAATTTAATTATATTAAAAATAAATATTATATTAATTAATAAATTTATAATTTAAATATTATATTAAAAATTTTAAAATTTACGTATTATATTAAATATTTAATTATAATTTAAAATTAGAGCAATCTTTTATTCAATTATTAAGATAGAGAAGGGAGCGCTTTAATTTTTTTTATATTTAAATTATTTGTTTACTGTTTAGTTATAATTTAAAAAATATAGTTTTGCATTTATTTTTTTTAAAGATGATTCATATCCGAATCTAATATTTTTAATATTGAAATTGATTCTAATATTATTAATTAAGATTCATTATGTTTTATTTAATTCATATCATATATCTTTGCAGGCAGGTTATATAAACAAATCATTGAAATTGAAATCATTGTGAGTAGAGTTGGTAACGGATCGGATTATGATGAATTTTTATTCGTTTTGAATTCGATTCGATTTGATAATGTATAAATCATATCTGATTCAATTAAATTCGAAATTAATAAAATATTATTTTTTAAATATAAAATATTACTTTTAAAAATATAAATATTTAAATATATAATTATATAAATATATATAAATAAAAAATTATTTTTATATCGAATCATGATGAATTTTTATTCGTTTTGAACTCGATCCGATTTGATAATGTATAAATCATATCTGATTTAATTAGATTCGAAATTAATAAAATATTATTTTTTAAATATAAAATATTACTTTTAAAAATATAAATATGTAAATATATAATTATATAAATATATATAAATAAAAAATTATTTTTATATAATATCAAATTGAATCGAGTTTATTTAAAATTTGAATCGATTCAACTCTAATTTTTTTTTAGTATTATTTAATTCGATTTGATTCGAAATTTAATTTAAAAAAAAAAATTTTGATTTTGTAAATTTAAATCGAATGAAAATTTACTAAAGACGAATTGAATTGCTTACCTATCGTGAGCACATGATTTTGTTTAAAAATAACTGACGAAGTTGAAGGCAAATAGATTTTTTTGCCTAGAAGTTGTTTGTACTTTTGAGAAATGATGGAAATTGTGGCTATCACCTTCAATTCATTCGCCCATCGATGTGATAGCCACTTGGTTAATGCCTTACCTATACCTAATTGGAATTTAAAGTTAAGTAAAAATATAATCATTTCTCAAAGGAAGAGATAATAACAAACACTAACAAACAGTGGACTCATTTGACATGTTATACTACTAACGTCAATGATATACCATGCATATGGACAAAGTATAAAATATATACAAAGTTATATTTTTATTCGAATTATATGTATGTCGATTAAATTTTTAAAAATTACAAATTAAAAAAATTTAAACGAGTAATTTTTTTAAATAAATTAAATAAATAAAAATATCAAAGTTACAGATAAATTGAAAAAAAAAAAATGTATGTCTATGTAATGATTTCTTAGGAAACTTTTGATTAATGGAATGAAAAGAAAATATTCATCTAAGCAATCATTTGCCTTTAAGAGCAAAAATTAAACTTATTCATCTAAGCAATTATTTGCCTTTAAGAACAAAAATTAAACTTATCTAATGAATAATGGAAGTTGGAAAAACATATATTTTTTTTAATATTGATTCAAAGAAAAAAATCATATTTAAAATAGTGAGAAAATCATAATCGTGCCATCTTACTATAGAATTTTAAGTATTACTTGATAGTAATTTACATCACACTTACTTTTATATTAATAATTTGACATGAAACCATACTGTGTCAACATTTCACATCACACAGAAGTATCGTTGACATTAAATTAGACCGACCATGGTCTCTAATGTACAATAATTTATAATAATACTGTCAAAATTAATTAGGTAAAGTATGTGATGTAGATGTAAACATGACAACATCTATTACTTCTCAAACTACAAATTTTAATTTTTCAAAAAATAAAGACATTTTTTCCAGGTTTCCTAGAGAAAATAATACTTTTTATCCCATTTTGTTTATTTTTATTTGATTTTTATAAATTTTTTAAAAATTGATTTTATTTAATTTATATTAAAATTTTAAATATTTTATAAAATTTATATATCATAATTCTTAATGTCAAAAAAGAAAAATATAAAAATATTTAAAATAAAAAATAAATTAAAACGAAGGAAGTATTACCTCGAGATTTCTATAAAACAACATTAAAAGACAACCCTACAATTTTTTTTTTTTCATTTTATTGCTAAAAGTGCTTGGATTTACTTCAGTCCTCACCGGTTTTTGGCACGTGACATCACATGACAATTTGGCTTTACAGCCGGATAATTTGCTAATGATGATGGCCAATTTGCTGTCACTGATACAGAGATCAATTATTATTGAGTTTTCAGCATTAATACTTAATTATCCTCCCATTGGATTACTATATTTATTCCTTAATGTAGAAGGGCCGGATTTGTAACGTCCGCATCTAAACCAATATTCATTAATAAAGCATGAAATTTAATATTTATTTAAAATAATTATAATTTAAAAAATGATATATAATATATATAAAATTTCAATTTCAATACTTAAAATTATTTAATTTATTATCAATTTTTTTTAGTAAAAAAAGAATTGCATGACCACATACCTTCAAGTCTCGTAATTCTTAATTTTTGTTATAAATTAATGAACATTATTTCCTATGAATAAATCACAATCACTTGTTCAAAAGCATATTATTTATCTTATTAATATTATTCACAAAAAAGGTTATATTATTTTTTTCTTTTATACTACTATAAATTTTTTTGTAGAGCTGGTGTATGAGCTAATCAAACACCAATTCAATTATAAAATTATAAAATTAAATTACAAAATAGATAATATATATTAATAAAATCATATCAATAATTTAAATAATTTTTAAAAATAAAGTTATAACCATTTTTAATCAATTTTCTCTATTTTTTATCCTGAAAATCTGTATGTGAAAATTATTTTACTTTCAATATTTTTATATTTAAAATGATTCATTTTTATTCTTTTTAATAATTTCTATAAATATTTAACTATTTATTCCATCCGCGTAGTGCTTAGGACTGATAATTGTTTAAATGTTTCAGTATCACGAAATGACAATATGCTGTAGGATTAAGTATAAAAATCTTAGTTTGTTAAAGACAAGCATGGTAACGCCAAGAGTACATTATTAAATACTAACAATCAAACTTCTTAATATAAATCATTCCGAGAATATAAATAAAAAGACAATCTGGAATTTGGGTTGGCCCACAACTGATTCAGCTTTCATAAATTTTACTCCGGCATTTGGGCCCACGAGATGGTGGAATGGATCATCAGAGAATTGATGTTAGTGAGATCACTAGATTAGTATTATTATTTATTATTTAAAATAATTATATTTGAGTTACAGATTTGTTGTGATACTCTAAAAATAAAAACATTATTTACATGTATATGAATGCATTATGTTTAAAATTATGAATTTTTAATCATACTTTTTACATTCAAACACGATTTGATTAAATTTCAAAGGATAAATATAAGAGTTTAAATTTTAATTTATTTTAAAATAATAATAATAAAAATTAATCTAAATAAAGAGGAGATTATAAACGGGAAATTTGCCCGAATTGGACTTGTTTCATAGGTTTGAACAATATGATTAAATCATTTCTCAAATGCTTTAAAACTGAATTATGACATATTCAATTATTTATTAATGTAATGTTGTATGTTGGAGTTTCGAAGCTGACAAAAATTTCAGAACTCATACCCATCTATTAACCCGAAAGTTCTAATGTCCTGCATTTGTCGTTTCCCCCACCGAAAGCTGCCAATAACCAATAACATTAGCCACAGATAATAAAGCAACAAGATACTGTTGAAATTTTAGAATTATATATTAGTATACATGCGCATGTGGTTGTGATGAAGAAACAACAAATTAAAAAATGAAGCAATTTGGGTGAACTCTGTAAAACCAGTTTGGCTGCTGAATTTATTATGTACCGAACGCCACTATATCATGAAACCTGGCTAAAACTAGTCCATCTTTACATTATGCAAACAATAATGACATTGGTTAGTGGGTTTAATGAAATTGACCCGTGTGAGGTTCATTTATTGTCTGTGGCTAAAATGTATCATAGTACTCTTCTATTTTTAAAATTTGACCCTTATAGTATTATTTAAAAATTTTTAATTTTTATTATATTATTTTTAAAATTTTAATTCTTATAATATTATTTTTAAAAAATTTAATATTTATACATTATTATCTGTCGAACTAAAATCTTAAAAAAATAACGTTACAAAAATTAAGTTTTTAAAAGTAATATTAGAAAAACTAAATTTTTTTTTTAAAATGTACACCTATGACACGTTTATGACACATTTTAACCATTCTCCGTCTGCATCCGACTGGTTTATATGCTTAGCAGTTTTTGTCCTTATGAAGAGCAGACAATGACTAGTGGGGAATGGAGATTGGTATCCACCAGAACAGACAATGGCTAGAAAAAAAGGTGTGGTTGCAAATGCAACCTTCACCAAAAATATGCAAAAAAGCTAAAGATATGCATTTTTTGCTCATGAATTTCAATGTCGTGAAGCTCCAATATAGTTTAGGAAGATTTTTTTTATTTACCATCATCTTTATTATGATTGGGAGTCAGAAAGGAATAAAAAGCTATAACAATCAGCATCTAGGCTGAAAAAAATAAAGAGATTTACTCATACCATGTCATGTATTTATGGAATACAAAATCAAATGGGGTCGCACTTTTCGAGCTTTTCGTTGCTGCTTCCACTAGATCTTTTCTGTCTAATGTAAAGAAAGGCAAATAAGTTCCAGTAGAAGGAGCAAAAAGAAGCTGAGAAAAGTAGCGACCCTATTCTAAGAGTGTTGAAAAATACACTAAAACAACAAAAATAAAGTTAAAAACAGTAGGATATAAATTAGTGTCCATCTACCCCTCATCTTTTGCACAATATTCTCTGTAGAAATGTACAGCTTTAGGAAGGTTTGGAAGCTCCATGCTATTGTTGTTAAGGGAAGTTGCCTGGAATTGCCTAGAGGCTAGGATCCACATTTAATCCTTCAAAAAAACAACTGGCTTAGGGTAATATAGACTTGAGTCTGCAGATCAAGCTGTCCAGGATCTTGCTATATGCACATGCACAAGTGATTGTGAAGTTGATTACAGACAACCAGACTGTAAGCATTTTGACTGGTAGGATTTTGCCCTACCAGGGGCAATGATCTCAAGTGCCCCAAGAACACACTTTCGATATGAAAAATCTACAATTGTGCCGTCTGTTCTTACCAACGAGAAGCAGCGAGCATTTGTGTGTTCGGGGTGATATCCTACCTGCAAAAGATAGGCTAACTAAGTATCAAGAAACCTTAGCATAAAATTTCAATGATAACATTTATTTTCTTTTTTTTTTTATAAATTTATTTAATTATCCAAAGAAGCAGAGGAATCCTGCCATAAAACAACAGAACAAAGAATTCTATTTTGCCCACTGAAAATGAAATTCTTAACTCTCTTTTCATTATCACAAACCTTTATTTCCTTAAATCCAGATCCAATTTTCTCATTTCTTCGAGGATGAAAGTACAATGCCATCGTCAATTTATCCAAATCAGCTCCACTTAACCGATGATCAATAGGATACCTACAGTAGCCCAGACAAACTAAATCACTTAGATGAACAAGAGACATGTCTACAATAATGACTAGGTTATTTTATCAGAATTAATAGAAGCAAATCACTACTAACATGAAATCAGGAGATAACATAAGCTATCTTAGACATACATGGTAGAGAAAAATGTGAAAGATCATAGTAAAAATTAAATATGGCAAACTATCTGATAATTATAAAATCTTATGTGGTCAAGTCATGAAAAACATTTAAATCTCTTTCGGATGCAAATAAAAGCATAAATATAAAAATACAATCTAAAATGGTTTTCCAAATAGAAAAAGCTGAATTCATTACCAGGAAAAGAATATGACAAACTGGCCCAAGTCCATACGATTTCACCAGTAAGTAACCAAATTGCAGATATCAATGCACTGATTATTATGCCTTTCCTCTAATCATCCAATACAGCAAAACCCTACTGAACATAATAAGATTAGAGGTGTGCATGGGATGTGCGGGGCATTAACAGGTTGACATTTTAAAAGCCAAGCCCGGGCCCAACTCAGTCTGACCTTACATAAAATTTTGTTATTAAAATATTAAAAAAAATATTACTATATTTAATACTTTTTAATATATATTTCAGGATTAAAATTAAATAAATTAATAGTAAGGCCAGCTTAGAAGTCAGGCCTGGCTCTTGGATACTCTAAACAAGAGATTTAAGGCAATTTTCAGAAACTCAGATGATCACTTAATCACAGCACCCTCCTCCTCCCCCCTTAAAAAAACTTGTCCTAAATGGAAATTTTTAAGAATATAAAACCAATGCCAATTCCAAAGGCTCTTGACTAAACTGAGAAAGAGGGAAAGCTGTCAATATCAGAAGCAAAAAGGCCATGCTCCCTTCCCTGCCCTTGCTATTCCTCACTTTCCTTCTTTCAATCTAATTGTATAAGCTTGTTGAAAGAAAATAAATAAGGTTGGATCTATTTGATGTGTTTCTCTCTCAAAACAAGACAAACAACTAAACAAAGTTTCATCGTATAGAACAAGTCAGCTAAAAATCTTGCAAGTTGATTAGGATTTCAATATAAAAGAGTTGGCACATAGCATAAAACTTGTGCATGATATTAGGAATTTATGACAGAGAAGGTAATTCAACATCACCAAAACCAAGTACTATGCCACAAACAGATATAAAAGAGTTGGCACATAGCATAAACTTGTGCATGATATTAGGAATTTATGACAGAGAAGGTAATTTAACATCACCAAAACCAAGGACTATGCCACAAACAGAGCGGGGAAACATTCAGTGGAAGAGAAACTTGATCACCATAAACAGAGAAGGTAAATAGCAATTGGAGGAAAGCTTACTTGTGCAATATATTCCTTAAATCACGCGAAAGCCTCTGAATGTCATTCAATGTCAGAAGTTCTCTCAATATTGATCTTGTTTTTGTTTCAATTTTCTCCAACTTTTCAGAGGCAGAAACACCAAGTGGATCCATAAGCTGAGAACCATATTTATCCGACTTAAAGTTAAGGGTTTTAGGTATTTCAAATTCTACATCCTGCTTCTTAGAACTGCCAAATGTTCCTAGCAGTTTATACACGTCGACAGGTTCTGCAAGCCCTTGATCCTGAAAAAAAAGTGGATGGATATAATTAGACTGTTAACAACCAAAAATGTTAGCCCAAAAAAGAAAAAACCTCTTTTACTCTCCCTTAATATTTTTCTATTTAAACAAGCAACCAAAGGAAAGAAACAAAAGGTAAACCACTAAGCAAGTTGGATAAAAACACTCAAGTATATAAAATAACTGTCTAAAAATGTAAATTTTGATTAATAAGATGCACAATTAAACTTACATACGGTTCCATCTTAACTACAGTTCAGAGAAATAGCATAGCTCATTTTTATACCATAACCAGATTGAGAAAAAATAAGATCTGCACTATAAGCATCAACATATACTCACGTACAGGATAGTCCTGCCCTTAAGATACTCACAAGATTGAACTCTGACTCCAAAAGTTCTTAGTTTATTGATACAACCTTATGATCCTTCAGAAGTGTTTTAATCTCAGTTGTGAAACATTTACTATTAAGATGTGTACTCTTCTATATCTGTTTCACTCAAGATTCTTTAATGCAGATGTGCTATCTCTCGAAAACCAATTAGCATTTCAATGAGATAACCAATAGCCACACCCCTATTCAGTGTCAGTAAGTAATAAGCCTAAGTCTTAATCACTTCCAACATGCATCATTCATGGAAGAACTTTGACGGTGTGTTCTGTCTCAGTCCATTCTTCCGCCTCTCTTCTTTTGAACTCAAAGAAGTTTGACGGTATTTCTGAAACTTTTACATTGAAAAATTTACATTTCCACTCAGTGACATGCACCTATGGTACAAACCTCATCCGCAAGGCAACAGCTTTAAAACAACAATTGCAGAACTAGTTTATTAGCAAGATTTACATAAAATATACCTTCATAGAATATACTATCTCAAAATGTCCGCCAGTCCCAATACGAGGAATCATTCCCCATGATAATGCATCAATGGTCCCCTTAAGACCATCCAAAACTCCTGCCTTAGCGGCATTGACAAAAGAAGCACTAGGATTCTGCAAAAAATTATATAAAGCTAAGTTGACTATAAAAATAACATAATATTTTATATTAAGAGCATCAAACTAGAAAGAATGACAGGAACAAACTGAAAAGCAGGCTTGCATGAAAGGAGATGAGACAAATGCATGTTCTCTTTGTCGTTTCAAGCCTTTTGAATTTAAGCCAACAAACTCCCCAGTAGCTGACAGACAATTGGCAACAAGAAGCAAATGTTCATTCAGTATAGTCTTGCCAGTATCCGAAATTGCACTCTTCAAATTCTGCACTCAGAATGGCATGAAGCATGTTAACTTTATGCAGTTCCCTCAATGAATTTCTGTAAGTAGAAAACATGGGGAACAAATTACATACATTGAGAAAAAATCTCCATCCAGCATCTATTCCATATGCCAAGCAAAACTGATTAATGTTATCTGGATGACTGCGTGTCCAATCAATCATATCCATTATTTGGAGGCAATCATTCACAAGCACACCCCACAGTTTTGTTATACCAAAATCGCCTGATACAAATACTCTCAAGTAAAGTTCACCAGGAGAAGTTTTATGAGATTTTGAGACTTTAGGTTTATCATTCCATAAAATATCCACCTTCTCAATCTCCGGGAATCCTAAAGAAAATGTCATAAATTCAAAGGGAAAAGAAGATCAATATCACCAAACTTGTAATCAACTTGTAAAGCATGTTTATCTAAAAAATTTATCAGACTTTATTGCACTCTGATAAAGCAAAAGTACTCTTTACAAAAAAAAAAAAAGGGAAAGATGAATGTCCCTTAAACCTTTTTAGTTGTCAATTTTGGTTCCTGAGCAATAACAAGCTTTGAAAAGTAAGGAAAAATAAAATTTAGACGAAAAAATGCCAGCTTAAAAAATAATTATTGTTTTCTTTGGTATCAGAAGCATGGCACTTCGTTTAGGCTATTTTGATCTTTTCTGGTGGTTTACAATTTGTCTTTTACATTTGAATAGACCCCATTAAAGATTCTGTTTTTCCTACCGGAAAGCTGGTAATACCATGATTACTTACAAGTTTAAATATTAGAACTTCAACCAATAAAACAGGCATAAACGAACTAGAGCATTAATGGCAATAAATAAATGGGAAATACATTCTGAGGGAAGGCATAACATCTAATAATTTCAAAAAGCATTGAGTAGTAAAAATAATCAAATGGCAAACAACTCACACATTCTCAATATTGATGGATAGATGGTTTAAAAATGGTGGTGATAAAACCCAACTACTGTCAAGTTGTTTCTTCTGAGAATTTTAACCAATAATAAAGATTTTAGCATTTTGCCAAAAATCAGGCCTCAAATGAATTGGACTCCTAATACTAGTCACTTTAGACAAAAACAGACAATTAGAAGTACAAACCTTTTACCACTGTTTCCAAAAGGGAAGGTATCACCATGTCTCGAATCACAGCCAATTCTGTACGAGAACTTTTGGAGCATTCAACAATTTTGACGGTGATACAAAACGTATCATCTTCATTTGGCATGTCGATAATAGAACAAGCCCTGCCATTCAATCAAACAAGTCAAGAAGCAAAATAAAGGAACAGTGGAGAGTAAACAAAAGTAGCAAGATTGTAGAATAATGTATATCCAATTTAGCTGTGCATGCGGCAGCCACCAGAGAATAAAAGTGGCTGTGCTCAAAACTAAAACGCAATTAATAATGGGAGCTTTTGCCTCCAATTGTACTTGGACTTTGGAGACAAAAACAAATGAGCAAGCTGCATTTGGCACAGCTGCATTGCAGGTTTGGGTGCAAATTGTATTTGCAAACCATGCTCTGTACAGATAACTTACAAGAAAATCTCATAACAGGCCATAAGACCACATATCCTTCAATAATATTAATTTTTAAGGCATTATAAGACAGAATGTCCATAAGCAAAGCTGAAATGTGGGGTGTTAATCATGTATGGTCACGCAAGAAAAGATTGGATAAGATATGAATAATTCCTAAAATGAAAGAGGACCGATTACAAAAATGACATCTTAGAAAGTGTGAATATGTGTGATGAAGATCATGATGCACCAACAGACAAAAGTATTTAATTTAAGGAGGAAAAAGGGAAGTATAAAAGTAGAGGTAGGGCAAAGATCACAAAGGTAGAGCTGTTAAATAGTTGTAGGCTGGATGGAAAGGCAAATTGATATTAATGGAAACTATCAGCTAATGAAGAAAAAATCCTTAATAAATCTGCATGTCACAGACTTATTGAAGAAACAAATGAAAATTGAAAAAGCTATTAGTGCTCCTTTTAACATGCTAGCAAAGGGTGCTCAGTAACTGAAAGGTTGCAGGTTGTGTTAGAACTTAGAAGAGACTGAAGTACTCCAAAGTGAGTGCTGTAACATCATTGGTAGTTCAAACCGAAAACAAAGAAACTAAAAATGTAGAATGCAGGATGTCTAACTCTAAAAATTCAAATGCAAAAGATAAAGACCTTGCTATAGGATAAGTTTTGTTCAAACTATAAGTATTTGATGACTATCAGAAAGGCAATTTCACCGTTTTATTAGTCAAACCTAAGCAGTTTCCCCTGGATATACATTCTCTCACTTTTAAGGATAATTTTCCCCTCATGGAGAAGTTACGACTTTGATGGAACAAATATAGATCTTCACTAAACTAATGTTCTAAAACATGAAGTACATTCGGATCTTTAATAAATAAATGTAAAATTTGGCTTTGAACTAAACATTCAGAAAAGAACACTTTAAGTAAATGGTGCTAGGAAGAAATTGAAGTTCAATGGAGGCTATGCAGGCCATGCATATTAACAGTATCGGCAAGTCTTCATGCTAAAAACAGAAAAACTTACTTGCTTGTAATTTGCAAGTCAGGCAAATCGATTTTCCATAACGCTTTGGCATTGGTGCAGTGCATGTAAAGAGAATCAATAATAGAATGCATTGTAAGCCGCCTCCTTTTCACAATATCCTGGAAAGTTCAGCATTTTATGGTGGAAACAAGAAAGTGGAAGTTTTATCAACATAGAAAAAAAAGAACACCATTTACATATCACGTTACCTTGCACACATGAAAATGGCAAACCCAAGGACTGAAATGGTTTTCACTAGAAATCTGTGTGGAGAAGCTAGTACCACAGAAAACATTAATAAATCTAAAAAAAAAGTATTAAAGTCAATTGGAAAAATAAATCATAAAAGAAGAAAGGATAAGACAATAAGAAAGGAGAATAAACTCACATTATTGAGACAGTAGACACAATATCTGAAAAGATCAATCTCTCCAAATGATTCTTGACTTCTAAGGCTCCATACTCCAAACCATGCCTCCTCCTTCCAAGTTTATCAGATAAAAATAGTGACATTGTCTGGTCAGCATTGCTTTTTTTAGAACCACACTCGAGGACCCTCTAAGCAATTTAATCAGATAAATTTGTCAGTATTTTACCATTTGCAACCATTTTTATATCAACCAACAAAATTTGAGATTCACACCAGATGCACATAAAATGGAACACTAGATCAGCCTCCCATCTTCCCTCCAGATGAAAAAGAAGAATAACTATCTATCAACAGCATCCACTGTGTAAAGTAATTTTTGGTGGACTGAATTGTGGTGGAACATGAAACATAAAAAGAAATCACATGCCGCTTAATCTAGAACACAGTGCATTAAGAAGCAGCAAGCATGGTAGTTGTCCATAAGCACATAAAAATCCCTTTTTTTGTTGTTCTCAATAGTGTCAACTTCTTCCAGTCCTTAGCAACATTATTAGGTAGGTTTTAGCACAGTAATTTGTATCCTTAAATTTTTCTTTAGGTGAAAAAGTTACCCATTTCCACATCACGTCAGAGGGGAAAGAAAATTTCTTTGAAGAAAACCTGAGGGTGAAAAAAAGCATAAAATATTTTCTTGCAGGTATAAATAGAAACCATTCTGCCTATATTGTTCTAAACCACTTGACAAGATGACCGTTTTGTTTATTAGCATGAAAGCCAAGCACATATAATATTCGGCTGGTGCCTTGTAATCAGTTTATCAGATTTCCCAGAGTCAACAATAAATATATGAAGGAATTCCCAGATTTTCAGCACAAAACAGCATGCTTAAACTGGGAGTGCAAAAACAGAACTAGACAGTATGTGTAAGACATAGGAAGGGTTGTCCAATGCACAAGGTTCCCACTTCTCAATTCTCGAGTCTAATAAGGGTCAGATGCCTGCAGCCTTACCCTGCTCTGCAGAAAAGCTGCTGCTACAACTTGAAGTAACCTCAAGTCACAGTGAAACAACTTTCTAACTGACGCACATAAAAGGGAAGCATAGAGAAGAAATAATATTTACTACTCCTAAAGTACAATACTAGCATGTTTTAGAATTGTGTTCCAAAGTAAAACGCAGCTAACTCCTTTCTAGAATTTAATTTCCACATTGAGAAGTGCAACAAGAAATTGAAAAGTTAAACTATGTTCAGACCTTATTGCAAATTTTATAAATGATACAGATATTATAGCTCTGGCCGAGTCAAATTGGAAAAGTTCATCATGCATCATTTCTAAGTCCCTTTCAAATAGAAGTATGGTAAGTACTCTACTTCTTTACAACACCATCAGGGGAGAGAGAGAGAGAGAGAGAGCACCTTTAGGTTTAGCAAGGGTGAAGTTTCAAGTAGACTTATTGGTTGATCCAAAGCACTATATGCAGCCTCAGAAATGGCACAGGCAGATAAAGAACCAACAGGTTGGCCACCTATTCCATCAAGAAGACTACAGCCTTGACTAGATGTACCCTTATCTATATTATAGTAGAACTGAACAACCTGATCTCCATATGCATTCCTCACAGTTCCATCATAAGCTGTGCATAGATCTCGCATGAAGAACATAAGCCTTCGTGACAGTGTCCCAGGAAGGTCAGCATTGTCACTGAAAGAACTGTCTCGACTAGTCACTGAATGAACAAAACATTCTAATGGATTCAGACCTTTTACAAAAGAACTTTCAACCACAGCATAGGGGATATAATTCTTAGCAGACTCAAAAGTATCATCAGCCTTCAGAGTTAAGCCATGAGACTTTTGATTATTCCATGCAGCACATGAGAGCTGATGAGGAAATCTGAATGATAAAGGTACAAGTGAATGTTGCAATCCAAGACACATGCTATGTTGTACTACCTTCAGCAAGTTGCCCTTGCTCCCTGCTTTGAACATGGTCAATAATGAATTGTCTTTGTTTGCATATTTGTAGAATAAATTCTGAATATCCCGAAAAACTTGCTTAAAAGAATCAACAGAAGCTTGGCTCAGTGCAGCCGATCTTTGCTTCTCATAGCACATCCGCTCAACATCCAAAGCCATAAAACTATCAATTTCTTCATGTCCAACAAGGAAATCATGATAAGAATCAACCATTAACTGTTTAAAGTTACATGTTTGTTCTGTTTCTTGCAGAGCATAGAAGATTTCGTCCATCATGTTCTTTCGTGAATTTGAGTCAGAAGATAGGTATAGGTCCAAAAGTGAAACACTCAAACCCCTCATTGACAACCACTCACAAAGAACTTCCTGAGCAGCATACAAAAAGTCAAGGACCTTTCCTTGATAATGTTTAATGAGACTCTGAAAAATGTTGCCGTCAGCATCTCGTAGCCAAGTAGCCCCTTCAGATGAAGCTATGAACTCCCCCTTACGGATAACAACATCACTTGGTGCGAAAACATAATCAAATTCTCGAGGGAAGAGCATGCTGAGCAACTGCTTTCCAGTCCAAAGAGGTTTACTCATTAAAGGGGCTTTGACAATTGCTGGCAATGGTGAATGATTGGGACAGAACATTTCCAACTGTTGCATTTCAAATAGATTCAAGAGAACCCCATCCTCCTTGACCAGATAAGCAGCAGTTAAACTATCATGACTGAGTGAAAGCAGATTTCGACCACTTTGGCCGTTAATTAGCTGCCTATTCAAAGAAACAAGCTCACTAAGCTCAACTCTGGTGCTGATGGACTGAGGAACATAGCCATGAAGGCAATCACCATCAAAATCTCCGCGAAAAGGGGAACAAATAAGTGGGTTTATTGAAACAACTGAACTGACTGGCAGGACTTTAACAGATAGAGCAATGAGAGAGTGCTGATGTATAGAAGGAGGTCTGTTTATAAGCATAGTATCCCCATTGTTTAGGGGCCTATAGATAGTGTCCCCCACTTGGAGCTGTTCGTTATGACGAATTCTAACTAATCTACCTTCTCTCCTAATGCGAATTTCACCCTTCTCAATAATACGCAGATTACAACAAGTTTTCAATCTCTCCTCATTCCACCTGTTCAGTTGCTCAGCAATTTCCAACCTCTCTGCAACATGATATGGTATACCAATTTCAGAGAGTTTAAGATTTGGATTTCCAGTGAGAACCATGCGGAAGCAATGGTCGTTTCGCTTCCCAAGAATAACATCTTTCATATATCTTAAACCAGACATGTTAGAAGCAGAATCTTTATTTCTTTTCTGGGCAACGATAAGTGCAGGATCTTCATTTGATGGCTTCTCCAGGTGCAGCTGCACAATGAATGTAATCACAGAAATAGAGAGTAAGATTCCATGAAAGTTGAACCAAATATAAAAGAAAACGAGGCAGTGAAACTTGCCTTAGAAATTTTTAGGCATTCAAGTACATGGGAACTCAATTCATTAGCCAGCCCTCTGAAATCAACCAATTTCTTGTAAACCCTGGTTCTTTCATCCTTCAAAAAACCATTAACCACAAAGAACAGTAAAACTGAAACGAAAACGGAAATACTGCATATAATCATATAAACTATCCATATTTGCCAAGATCTTAAAAGTATGTAAAAGAGGATGTTTAAATTAAAGACGCTTACAAAGATCAATCGCTGCGCATTAGAAGATGAATGCATGATTTCCGTCACTCGATGACTATTGGGCGTCACGGGAAAACAATTGAGGAAAATAGAGTCCATGTTCAAAACAAACTTTTTAATGAACTCAGGATCAACTTCCTTCAATAAATGATGAACCTGAAAACCATTAAGCACTATGTACTCATCAATGTGGTAAAGAAAATGATGGTCTGATTTATATAAGGAGAAGGGATAGGCAACACCAATGCTTGATTCTGTTCCATGCTTCCAAAGAATATTAACGAAGGGAATAATAGTTTCCAAACCAAAGATTCTCAGGAAGTAAAATATAACAAGTAGGATATATTAACACAAGAAACAAATTAGGAGATACTTTCCTTCATTTTGTCTTTCTGACATGTACGTAAAACATTTTTCCTTGCCAATTAAGCTCATTCAAAGCCTTACTTATTACAGTATCACAATGGTTCTATAGAAAGTAAAATCCCATCCAAACTCATGACAGTTTTCAAATCGCTAATAGTTTTAAGTTTTGGTTAAAATGATATTATGGTATGACAAGTTTCCACAACCAATTCGTATTTGCAAAGTGGAAGCCCTGCATTTTATAGAAACAACCAACTCCCTCTCCTCCACCTTCCTACAACTACCACCAGACATTATTAAGAATTAAATATTTAAAAAAGCAAATAAAAGCTCAATTTTTTTAGGAAATGAAAGTTCAAAGTTGTTAAATATCAATACTAACAACATGAAGTGCGTAACAAAACAAGCACCATAGAATCACTAGAAGATATGTATCAACAAAAATTTTGAATTAATATGTCAACATGTAGTTGATAGCATTTCCAGAAATAAATCATATGAGATGATATGTTTGAGACAAAAAATAAATATAATTTAAAAAAGTGAATTAGAAAAGAACATTCTACCTGGGCATGTGATAGGACCCTTCTACCCGGTTTCATAAAACCTTCTTCTTGTTGTTGATCTTTTGGAATAAAATCCCAGTAATCTGCAGGTAATGCTTGTCTTCCTCTTTTTCGGACCTTCATTAAAGAATTTTCACTTACCTCTACCAAAATCGCACTTTTTCTGAAAAGATCTTTCGAGGATATCTTGAATCTCATTGGTGGATACCAATCTATTGAATTCCTCTGTTTACCAGATATCATTACTACAAAAGAAAATATCAAAAAGGATCATGAATACAAGAAGCTAGACAAACTTACCACACAATATTTACACCCCTTGCGTTCATGTAATCTGGATGCCGAATTAGCTCCCTGGTACAAACATGACAAAGAAAAACATCAATATTGGGTATATTTTGCTCAAAAAGAAAGTAGACAAGAATGCAGGGAGAGTATCAGCAAATCAGATTTTAGAGGGTAATCTCACTTCTAAGATCAGCATAGATAAAGCCAAGCAAGTGTCATAATGAGCAGATAATTACACTGTGCCAAGAGGGATAGGCTTTGTTTGGGATCTTAAATTCTTCCAACATTAACATAATTTCTATTTTATCATTTTCCCTTTCTTTTGGATGACACAAAGGAATAATAATAATATGTTATAATGGGAAGACAAGGAAAAAGTATAGCAGTATGATGATCTTCGGTTTAAGAAGGCTTGAGATACCTGACCTTTATCCAAAGATCTTTCCGGATTGATTTACATCCTGGGCAAATCTTATTTAATATATGTACAACTTCTGATATAAAATACGGATGGAGTATTGTGTATGGAAATTTAATAACCCCAAAATGACCTATGAAGATGAATGGAAACAAATCAGTGAGTTGATAGCTATATAAAGAAACAAAAACTTGACAGATGCAGAATATCATTTAAAATTTTTAATTAACCATCCACCTTCGCAATGTTTCATATCTCTGGCGTCACAAGTTCTGCAATGATTAGAAAAGTTTGGGAACCCCAACCTAGGATCAGACACCTCACTTGGTGCAGCAATTTCCATTACAGACATTTTCTCCTGTCACAGTATCAGAACAGAATCATAACTTTTCAAATTGCTACAGAAAATGGAATACTAATAATTAAAGGGCTACATGATTGTGTTGCCATATCCAAAACAGTCTGAAGCATAAAATTCACAAGAAAAGTGTACAATAACCATGAAGCAATAATTTTTCCTAAAAACAGAAAAAGCAGGAACCAGTTATTAGCGTATAGAACAAGATCGGAGGTGGCAAGAAAAACTAATTAACAATGAGTAGCTTCACAGAAAGGAATTTCCTAAATTAAAAAAGTAGCACCAAACAAAATTTAAGGATCTAGATGGAAATAGGGAGAATCATTTCCAATGAGAATATAAATACATTTCAAATATTACTACATAAATCAGCCTTGACTTCCTTTTCAAATTATTGTAAGGCAGGTGTGGAGTGGGGATCATTTTAATCACTATACTCATTCCAGTATTATGAATTTCAGCATACAGGTAAACAAATAGATAAAGGACCATTCAAGTATACGTACATTATCTGTGTCATTCGAGACATTAAATTCTATGCCAGTCAAAAAGGCAGCTGGCACTTCTTGCTCTTCATGCAAGTCACTGTCCATGGAATTCATTGACTTTTGACTTCTGGTGCCCAATCAAACAACCTATCAGGCACTCCCCAAAGCATTCAAATAAAGATTAATATAAAACTACAAAGATGTAGATAAGAAAATTCACATTGTATCACAAGAGTTAGGTTTCAAAAGAACCATAACTATTTCAAAGACATGATAGAGGTGAAATTGCAGGCATTACAACATAAACCAAAAATGCCTTAACGTGAACTGTAGAGTTATGAGCACAAGAACACTCAAAGTGAAATAACTAACTAATAAATCATGGATGCCTGAAAATACACTAGAAGAAAGGTATTCGAAAGAGAGAAATAGCTTGTCAAAATTTGTTAAATGCATCTTAGTATAAGCCCATAAAATATCTCAGGCCAGTTGCCCATGAGAAAATGATAATGAAGAAAAATCTACAAAGATCCATGAGAATAGTGAGATACAGAAAGTTCAGATGAGACATCAACAAAATATTGAGTGCCAATTCAGTTCAGAATTAAACATCACTGCACATTTTCAAAACAAGCCTTAAATATGTATTTGTAAACAAGTTCCTAGTGTAAAGAACTCCAGCAATAAGGACAACATATATTTAGTTATCTTTTTCACATTTTCAGTCAGAGAATTCAATCTTGAAAATGGAAGCCCATCCTTTAGTAGACATGTTTCAATGAAAATATAGCATTGCTTGACCATAAAATGTTTAAAGAAATGGTTCCCTTGTTATTCTAATCAAACGCAACATAATCAAATCAAAAACAGGGGCAAGACAAATTAAGCTCATAGAATATTAAATCCATCCCAAAAAAAAATAGATAGAAATTATGTCCAGAGGCAAAAAACCAAAAAAAAAAGGGATAAATATTTATGAAGGTCAGCAGCAATAAACAAAATTCTAGCTTTATAGAGCTAACTCGTGTTGATGCCAGCCTGCAAATTTTACTAAAACACGATAATAACAGGAGTAAGCAATCACCATGTTCAAACAAATGAAGTACACATGCCAAGCCGCAAAGTATGCATTAGGTCATAAATATTCCATTTATCTCAATGCACGTAAGAGCTATGTTTCCTATTCAAGTCTTGTTTACTTAAACAAATGGCGAACAAAAACACAGAGTTAATGAAACTGATATTTTGGAATAAGCATAGAATCAGAGCTCAAACTGCCATTTATAGCAGTTATAACCCGCTGACAATTAAATAAGTCAACTTCATTATTGATCGAAATTTCAACAAAAGCATCTTATTCACATGTCAATTGATCATAGGAAAAACACATCATCCACTGCCATCATCCCTTTAAAACCTCAACACAACAAGCCGGAGCATAAAAGATAATAACAAAACATTACAAACAAAACAGATACATAATCCCAAGTTCTTAATTAGGTCAATCAACAACAAATGCCAGCACAATGAGAACAGTTCCACTGACTAGAAGCAAAACATGAACTTTATTGGAAAAAAAAAAACATACACACACACAACTAAGATGTGAACCGCCATTGTAACTCATTACTGAATCAGTCATTCAAAACATAAACAGAATCCCCTGTTTAATTAGCTCTAACGACTACTGATATAATGATCAAGTTCATCAGTAAACATGTTAGCTCCACGCACATTGTTTAAAGCTTCATGTTTTAAAACTAAAAACTTCACCATAAACAACATAAAGAAAAAGCTTTAACCTAAACCACCATGCACAACAAGAAGAAAACCTCCAAATTAACTAAAAAAAACCCAGAACCCATTGTCCAGTGGCAAAACAAACAAGATCATCACGATCAGCCAAAAAGCCAAAAACCCATATTGAAAAAATAGTCAACAAAACTAAAAGAAGGAATCATTGATCACCAATCCAAACAAATAAACATGCAATATTGAACAAAACCCAGAATCCAAAAAATACATTGGGAAAAACATTAAAAAGAAAATTAAAATAAAAAAAAGATAGAAACTTTACTCACTTTTCTTGATGAAAAAGGCAATGTACTTTTTTTCCACTGAAACAAACACTCTTTTAGTTTCTCGACGAGTTAATGAAAAGACAGAGAGAGAAAGAGAGTAAAAGCGAGATTATAAGAGCAGGACCAGTATTATGAGTTTATTCCCTTCACAAGTGAAACCATGTTGAAGAGAGTAGAGGGCAAAACTGTAAATAAAAGATACAGTTAAGGTCAAAACAACATCATGGAAATCGGGTTTCCCTAAAAGAGAAAAAAGAGAGAATAAAGACGCCGCCGGTTTGTTTCAAAGACAAAAAAGGGTCCACCGACTTCAAGAAGTAGAAGACTGATGCCGAAGAGTTAAAACATTAAAAAATTCAATATTTTTTTAATTCTTTAGAAGTAAAACTACCTCTATTCTTCTGTTTAATTACGACTCTGCCATCACCATTTTTGCGGGTAGGTTACTTTATTTTGGTTTTTTTATGTTTTCACTTTTCACCCGTGGAATTTTGTGAAGTTACTGATAAGGACATGTAAAAAATTTTATTCATCTACAAATATATAAAATGTGGGTTACTATGGTAATTTCGTAAAACTATTTTATTGGTTTTTCTAGTTGTACTTTTTACTAGTACAGGGCAAGGTTGAGTTATTGTTAGGGCCACAACATGAGAGTCACGAAATCATTAAAATTCCTTTGACCAAATCCAAATTTATAGAAAAAATAATATAATTTTTATTCCAAAAATAAACAATCAAGATTGCCCGCTTTTTTCTTTTCCAATCAATGGCATATATCTTATCATATATTTATTTTCAATCTTAATAGTATATTAGGGAAAAAGTGTTTTTTATGGTCTAAAAATATGAAAAAAAAATTTCTCCTTTATTCTATTTATTTATGATTTCATATAACTCTATTTAAATGTGTAGATATGATTACATTCTCAAACATTAATGTTTAATGACCATTAGAAATGGGGATTAAACTAAATCTGTTCACATGATTTTTAAATTTAAATTCGATTGGATTCAACTTGAGTTATTTTTTTATTAATGTAGTTATTTTTATTTAATTTTAATTTTAAAATAAATTTTACCTAAACCTAATCCATTAACACGTTTGCTATTTTTTTTTAATTTTAATTTAAAAGTAGTGACTCGTAAAATACCTTAAGAATTGGATAAAGGGAAAGTAAAAAAAAAAAAATTGATTTAGTGAAAGACAAGGGGCGTTGGCAATTGGGAGTAAACTTTTAGTGCATGTTTTTCTCTTTTGTTAAGCATTATCAAAGATGGAGAAAGACATAAATTTGAGTTAAGAGGGTGAGTCAGATATTTTAAGATTCCGTTTCTTACTCCATTCTATGACTTTAACGTATGGATATGTAATAAAGTTACCTTACGTTGAATAAGTATTATGCATCTGTCAGAAACCCATGACTTCTGGCTTCTCCTTATCACTTCAATTTCAATCCATCTTTTCCCCGGATATCACTTTCTTTAAATATTTTTTAAAATTACTCATTTAAAAATAAAAATTTAATCAACAATTTATATTCTATTAATAAATATGAACTTTTAATTAAAATTAAAATCGAATATGAAAATTAAATTTAATTTAATTTGGTAAATTAAGTTAATTAAATAAATTTAAATAATTTAAATTAAATTCAAATTAAAAAATAAAAATTCATCAAACTCAAATTAAATTTCAATCATTTAAATCAAAATCGAGATCAAATTTTTTATTATATTAATTAGGCTCAACTTTATTACACCCTATTTCAAGCAACTCAATAAAGGGGATTTTTAGAGTCATAAAATGCTTTAATCTTGCCCTTGCATTTGAGTGAAATTAGGGACGGACATAAATTTTTGCAGCTGCTATAAAATGAGGGTGAGACACAGGGGAACGGAAATAAATAAAGAAATGGGTCCCGCCGGGGGTGGTGACCTAGACTCCTAGGGGACGGAGCGGCTCTTTGAAAAGGTAGAAAACATAACGTCACGTCGCGGAAAACATTAAAAATAAAAATACCTGGCAAGATGGACCAACGTGGCACACATGCGCTGGAGAAAGGGTCAAAAAAAAGCACGGAAAATTTTGTGACGCTGAAAGGACGCACTTTTCATACTACTACAATGCTTTCTTGTTACGCCCTTTCCAAATTTTGGCTATCGGAAAGGACCATTCTTTGGTACGCTCTACTTTGTAGAGCTTTCTAATAAGATTCTTACCGGTTACCAGTGTAACTGGTCATATTTTATGTAATCAAAACGTAGTTCTTTAATATATAGTTGTAAATAACAAAACATAAAGTGATAATATAATTTTCTCTTATCTAATTAATAAATTCTGTAATTATAATTATTTATTATAAAATTACACATTATGTTATGTTAGAAAAATATTAAATAATTTAATTTAATTAATTTATAGAATTACATTTAAAAAATAACATTCAAAGTGAAATTTAAATTCAAATATTTATATGCCTTTTCTATCCCCAAACCCCAACTTCTTTTATATCAAAATAAAATAAAAATAGCTATAAAATATAATATTAATAATAAAAATTGTAATTTTGTAATAAATAGTTGTAAAATATAACATTGATAATAAAGTTTATAATTTTACAACAAAGGGTATAAAAATAACAAAAGTAATATTACTACTTTTGTATTAGATAAAGTAAAAAAAAAAATGCAAATGATATTAAAAGTAAAATAAACAAAATTTCAAGATATATTATCAAATTATTTAAAAAATTTAGTAATTTTGTAAGAATAATATATAATTTAGAAAAAAATATAAAAAAAATTGCATAATTTTCTTATTACCTATTCAAAAGGAAAAAAAAAAAAAAGATGTGTTGTCAAAGCATAAGCTGCAAGATATGTTATTAATGTTAACAAGACAAATGAAATTACAATATTTAACAATAAAAAAATTTTAAATGGATGAATCAAATTTTCAACTTTGGTAAATTGTAACTATCTTTAATATAATTTATGAACGCGTATAATTACGAACTAGACTTTTTCACAAATAGGGTTACTTGCTTTATGGAGAAATCCGTAACTCAACATTTTTTATTTCATAATCACATAGTTTTAAATCATTTAAAAGAAACATATATTAAATAATTTGTATTATATATAGTAATTAATTAATTAATTTTATAACTAATAAATATAAAGATGGTAAATACAGTAATATTATTTTTTATTAAAAAGAGTAATAAATTAAGTAATTTAATAACATATAATTTTAAGTGTAACAATAAAATAATAATACAATTTTTCAATAAAAATAAAGGTGTAAATTTTGAATAAAATTGACAAATAAATAAGAAAAATACTTAAAACCAAAAATTTTCACCAACCAGTTATCCGGTTGCAAATCGGTAACCAATTAGTGACGTGCCATCTTAGCATGCAACATGAGGAGCATTTTATAAGTGCACCATCAGGGGTAGGAATTCTCTTCCAATAATTGTTGCTGTCCTTTTATTAATTATTTTGTCAGGTCAGTTGAAAAAGGAAACTTTTATAAAAGATTTTGTCATTTTTTGTACGTGTAGGTGTCAAATTTTAATAAATTATAATATTAAATTAACAAATATTCTAGAAATATTTTTATTGTTCAAAAATAAAATTATTATTTACATTAAAAGAATGTGATTATTTATTTCATTTATAAATTAAATATTGATTCATTATTATTTTTTATTTATTAACAAAAGGATGAATCTTGATTTATAAGTGAAATGAATAAATCTTGATTCATTCTTAATTCAAAGATAGAAGTTGTAAAAAAATGTTAATAAGTGTTTAATAATATGATTAAGGTGATATTTAAAGAAACTAATCAATGTATTTTTCTTGAATTTAATAAAATAACATATTAAATACAAAAAATATAAATTAATAATTAAATAACTCTTAATCAATTCCTATAAACATCACCTAAAGTTAAAAATGATATATACAATAGAAACTCATATTGTAAAATTAAAAATGAGAATCGATTTAACAGTTAATGCCATAGATGGAGATGTTTTTTCCATACCTTCCTTACCATTTACTTGAAACTGAGATGATTATTTGCTCCAAAGTAGAATAATACTTAAATGTATTACTTTTAAAAATAAATTTTATTATTTTCAATTATTTTTTTAATTCAATATCTATTAAGTCCATTTACTTTGTCAATATTGTCAACTCCCTTAAACATTCAATCAACGCATACTCAATTGCTACGTTACTTTATCATCAAACTGGCTTGCTCCTCATCACATTCTATCAAGACATTACTTTATAATTGAAACATTTAGCTTTCAATTTGTTTGAAACAATTAAATGCATTATATGTTTATTTGTAATCATTAAATGTAATTTACAATCACTCACGTGTATTTTTTTGAAATTTCTATAAATTTATTATCAATTGTTGATTATGTTAATCAAATCATCATATTTCATCTTGTATATAAGATGAAGAGCCTTAAATACGTAAGAACTTAAAACTTACGCATTTTCCTTCCATTGAAACTTCTTCATACACTTCATTTTTTTTTCTTTTAAATCCTAAATATTTAATTGACTTAAGCATTGGAACATATTTTAAAAAACCAACTTCAATATCTCCTAATTATACTTTTTGACTATAGGTTCAATCCACTTCATCTTTAATCTCTTATCTAGTTAAAACATCCAAAAATACCATCAATAATATTCATTAAAAAAAATTATTTGGATACATTAATTTTATTCAATGTAGCGTGTTCTCTCTTTTTTCTTTTTTTTTTTTTTGAGCTAGAAAATTACATTAATCTCTCTTTGTTTGTTTGTTCACGGTATTGTGATTAATCCGATGCTACTTTTTTGTCCCTTTAATATGAAAAGATAACCAAAGTTGAGATAAGTAAAAGCTGACGTTTATGTTGAATGGCCCAAAAAAACAGCTGGCTTTTATGTTGGAGATATTTGTTCCATGAAAAAAGGAAGGGCGGATAAAGAAAAGATATGTCCATTTCTAACCAAATCGTTAAAAAGTTAAAAGAAATATTCTGGTCTGATCTTTATTGGTAATCAAGGTTGTTGCATATCACGTCAATGTCATTGAACGTTTAATTTTCTACTCTCTTTTGGGATGGAAGAAGAGATTAAAGACTAATCACTGTTATTATGTACATCTTACTTCAACATTATTCTAAATAATAATGGTCAAAGTACATGGGAAGCCTTGTCACAATCTTAATTTTAACAATAATGACTATTAATTATCAAAGATTAAAGTCCTATATAGCAAGCCTAATTGGAAGAATTGATCAATGGTTCATGAAAACATAAAAATTAAACCGATAAAATTTAAGTTCAATTTTTATTGTTAATAATTTTTTAACGAATTCTAAAATAAATATAAATTATTGTTGCGACTTACGTTAATTTTTGATCCTGCAATTAGGCGACTTCTCCTCATTTATTTTTATTTTTTACCAAAAAAATGGGCCAAATCTAAATTTTCACCCCAATAGAATCCAACCAAAGCTTCGAGATGAGAATATAAGGGGGGGGGGGGGCAAAGAGAAGGAAAAGGCATCATTAACTTGTTGAGTACATTGGGGAATTTTTGCCAATCATAAGAAAGATACAATTTGGCTTAAAAAGATGAGACCAAGAAAGCTATAAATATGGTAGAATTGTGGGCAAATACCATTATTTGGTCGTGTCCTTACAATCTTTTTCCCCCCCTGACGAACTGAAAAGGCACATGGTACATTTTTCGTAAATTAAATGTAGCAGACATGAAAAAGACTTGTCCATGAACTCCATTGACACCCTCGAATATTGTTTCCTAGTTTTACTTCTCTTTTAGTTTGCCATGTTTTAGTTGCATCATTGTTTCAACAATTTCATGTCTAAAAATAAATTTCACGCGAAAGTAATCTCTGTTGCATTTATTATCTAATAATGAAGTTTTTTAAACTTATTTATTTGTTGTTCTTAAGTGTTTATGTAAAGAAAATTAGAAACAATATGTAGAATTGCGTATGTATTGCATCACAGCTGGAAAAACTTTGCCTTCTGTTTCTCCGACCAGCACTTAAAAGAGGAGAGGACCCAATTTAATAAAGAACTTACAACTCTCCCAACTTCTCTTCTGTACATTGCACAGTAAAGTATTCCTCAAGGACCACTGATATCAACCCACGTGGCCAAACTAGTCATTTGGGACTTACTATCATCAGCTCCACAAGTCCACGTTTAATCATCGCCATCTGTTTCTGGGACCCTCAGTCTGACGGGGACTGTTATCCTTGAGACGTCATATTCCTCTAAAATATTCTACTATATTCTTGAAAATTAAATAAAAAATTATAATAAGAATATATATAATAAATATGAAATAATCTATAATAATACTCATAAAATGTTAAAATATAATGAATTATTTCTAAATTATAATAAAGTATTTGTGATGTTTAAATTTAAAAAATTTTTAATATGATATTTAAATTATAAATTTATTAATTTATATAATATTTATTTTTAATATAATTAATTTTAAATGATAATAAGTAATAAATAAATAATTTTTAAATAATATTATATTAATTAAAAATGTTGTAATTTAAAAAATTTAAAAATTAAATTAAATATTTTCCTATAATTTAAACAGTAAAAAAGATTATTGATGGAAAAAAATAGGGTAATGCTCTCTCCACTTGTCGGTTATGTGGAAGTTAAATCATTTCTGGATAAAAACACATGTCCCGTGGAGGGTAATTAAGTAAATAATACCACGAAGTTTGTGGGACCCCTATTCCAAGTAATGGAAGGGGACACCTGTCAAACTCAAGTGGTGAGTTTGCGCCTTTTGTCCTGCGTATTATTGTGTAATATTTAATATTATCATAATTATTTAATTATAATAAAAAATGTAAAAATTTACTATTTATAAATGTGAGTTTATGTAATAATAAATTATAAGTGATTAATTATAATAAATACTAATAAAATATGATTGATTAATTTATTATAATAATTGGACTATAAATAATAATGAAGATTTTTTTTAGCCAGAAAGAAACCAAGGACTAGTTCTTTGGACCCTGGAAAAAAATATGTAATTGTTCAATGCATTTGCTAAGCTGGTCAGTTTCTTCTCTCGTTCTGGTGATTGAAAAATGTGTGTTCCTTTTATGCATTTTACTTTTGTTTAGTTGAAAAGCTTTTTCTTATGTAAATTTTGACGGGATTTCTTGTTTTTGGTAGTTTTGTGATCATGTTTTGTTATTGGGTTGTATGGTTGTTTTGTAAAGCATGTCATTTTCTTATGATATTATGGGTTCCTTTGCGGTGGTTAAGGTATTGGGTTACAGAGCTATGGTCTGAATTTTTCTATGCTAAGTTTGATTTTTTTTTTTTTTATTGCAAAGGAGGATTAGTGCTCTTACAAGGGGGAGGGGGAATGATGGAGATAAAACTCACGCCTATGTGACTTTCTAACGGGCTCTTAACCACTAAGCTAAGAGGGGAAAGTCTATGCTAAGTTTAAATTTAGTTGTGGACCTGCGAAGAGAATTTGAAGAATGGTTTTTGATTGAATTTTGCTGTATATTGCAACTAAATAAGAGGAACATTAATGAGCTATAGAAAAGAGTTGGGAAAAAAATAAAAACGAAAATACGCAGAACCTTGGGGTTTGAACAAGTTATCCGAGGTTTAATATTCATGGTTTTGCTGTAGGTGATCATCTCAGAAGATCGAAGCTTTCTGGGACTCTAGCTGTGGGAATTATTCAGTTTATGAAGACGGTCAAGTGTTTATCATGAGAAGCTCGTGTAAGAAGTTGCTTCTCTGTATAATGTTAAATGTGTTGTTTCACACAGTTGATCTCATGCCTGGCCTAAAAATTCAGAAGCTCATGGATTAGATTGCACAGTTAAAAGAAAATATGGCAGTTCTATATCATTTAATGTTGATAGTGAGGTCTTGACCGGTGTTTTTCTATAATAGTAGTTGCCTGCTTTTGCGGTTCATCCAACAAATACAACAATATGGATTTTAGGATATGTATTTAGTTAATGCAATGTAAGAGTCCAGAACTTGTTCCCTCGACTGTCCTAGGAAGCAGGAAAGTTGCATCTTATTTTTGAATTCTAGCATGATTTCAAAACTGGTCTTTTAGCCCTACAAAAAGAGTTTGTTCCAATTTATGGCTTCTAATACCCCTGACTGGAGGATTGCGGTCAGATAGTTCAAGAAGCATACAAGGACGACAACCTTGATTGCAGAGAGCTCGAAGGAGGGAAGTACTTTCTCCACACCGTTCGTTAAAAGAAATCAGGATTATAGCTTTAGTGACGGATCACCTGTTTCTGCCAATGGCCAACTTGGAGCACCTGCATTCACTTGCAAATCATCATTTTTCTTCTTTCTAAGTTGAAAATGGCAGTCCTTGCTCCGAATCTGTGGTTTTTCATTTACCAGCTGCTGTCAATCAAGTGCAGCAGACTTTTCATCCCCAATTCCCCACAAGTGCCAAGTCCAAGCTTTGCTTTCTTCAGTCCAAGAGCTGCTGTTGAGCCACCAAATATTTCATTGGAAACTAAAATTTTTAATTACTTGTTAAAGTTAACCATATGCTATCTGTTGTTTCTTTGAAGAATTCCCTATTTCTCTCTGTCTTGACCCTGAAACTAACCAAATGATGCCAATCCAAAAATGCGTTAGCCGGGAGTCGAACCCGGGTCTATTGCTTGGAAGGCAATTATCCTAACCGTTGGACTACAAACGCTTTTTGATATGGGGAATTCAAAATTTTCTAAATAGTCATTGCAAGCCAGTTTACAATCACCGTTTAGCCGGAAAGTCTGGCCCATCAAAAAGCTTGCTTTATTGAATTGAAAAGGGTTCATTGACTCGTGAATTTCAAGCTGAGGGCGAGTCCAATCACAGAAATTCTTCACTGTTCCTAAAGAAAGAAATGGCAATAAAATAACGCGCTGCTGATGAAGATTGCAATCCATGGGAAGACCAAATGCAACCCAAACAGGTAATGAATTTTTTTTATGCTATACGCAAGAAACTTCAGTTCCATTTCTATGCATCCAACTAAATACCATTAGTCCATTACTAGCATTCTTGGCTCCCTTCTTAACTCTTGAGCACTACTGCACCAGCATCTACATCACTGTATAAACGAGATAAACAGATGCGTCTGACACTATGAACATCTACATAGAGGATTTCGCAGACACAGTAACTTTGTAAAAAAAAATGGAACAAAATTCTTTTCAGTAGAGTGCCATCAGCATCTGGCTTGAAACAGACATCCAACAGAGTTAATAGGAATAAAAAACAAATAGTTCCTCAGGATTTTGCGGCAACATAACCACTTTAATCTCTGTTTATGGTACAACTGCTGCGGGCATATAATTATCTCATGAAGTCTGACTATAAAAATAGGCCCCATTGCTTTTGGAGAGCCACAAGAACAAGCTGGTCTAGTTCCTACGAAGCCGACCCTCGCAAAATGTAAAGGAGTAATATCCAGGAAAATTGCACTCATTCAGGATTACATTATATTTTATGAGGCTAAAGTGACGTAATAAAATGATGTCACCTACAGTTTATGATGCAGGGGCATACTCTTGGATTACTGTTGCCAGTTTGTTTCGGTCCTCCTCTGATTTTGTTCTAATTAAAAAGGTACGTGCCACAGCATTATCCTTATTGCCACCATCATCCTACAAAATCCAAGAGAAGTCACTCTAAATCTATAATACTCAATTGACTTGTAACAAAATACAACACAGTCAAATTCTGCAAGAAAAAATTTTGAAGTTAATACTTCTATCAATACTTTTATCAAAGATTCCAACTACCAATATACTGATCACCAATTCCACATCCAAATTACAAGCCATTAAGGCTTGACTGCACGGTTGCAGCCAGCTTAGCTCTTTATACACATTTGTTACTAATGTCATCCTTCTGCGCAGCTTAAAGGATCATTCCCAGATATGATCCCAGCAAAGTGGGGTCCTAGAGGGTAAAATGGAAATGATATTGGTCTCTAGCATTTTTCAAAAAAGTGGTTCTCTCAAGATTGAACTTGTATCAACATTTGTCCGCTCAAGAGTAAGCATTTCACCAGGCAATGGGTCCTAATGTTACTTTCAACAGTTAATGGTAGAAAAAAATGTTAATTTCCTATACGACACCTTTCCTCAGGAACCCTAAACAAAAAGTATATGTAACTGTTGGGTTTGATATATACTTGTATTTTCAAATGAATGTCTTCATGTATCATAATCGACAAGAATAGAGAATAAATTTGGTAATAACATCTTTGAATTGTTGAAAAACCAAAGACCACTGTTGTAACCTAAACTAGTGAGTGCTCTAATAGAAGATAGAATAAGAATTCCAGCTGCTGCTTTGCCCGGAAGCTATGCTAAGCAATCTTTGTAAATAGAAAATAAGAATAACCTGATAGAGTTTGATACTTGATCAGCACAGCATAAAATACCAAAATTAGAAAACCGAATGTCCAAAATATCCAAACATTTGGCTTTCAAATATATTACCGAAGTATGAAATATTGCAACGAGGGAATTCTTTTGTGCACTTGTCTTGATCCCTGGATATAGCAAAGCGTTAAGTAACACCTTTCCAACCTGTGACCAATAGATGGTTATAGAAGTTAAAAGTAAGAGACACAAGACTTTTTCTAGTTTTAAAGTGAACCGTCTCATATCTACTAACTGAATAACAGCTCATGCATGAATGAAATTTCTAAAACCAATACATGCCCATGGAGAAACATACATCATTTCGAACAACAATTGTTGGTTTGGAATCTTTTGAACCCTTGCTGATACCCTCTTTGCATTTAATGGAAAGCTGCCCTGTGCCTTTATCTCTCCACGAATCTTTATCTGCTGGATCGGTTGACTGGCATGACAAAAGGGAGTGAAAGAGATTACAGAAGAGGTCAGATCAAACACCATGTCACAAGTCAAGAGTAGGCGGATCCATAAATTGCTACTGAATACAAGTTTTCAAAGGATATACCTTGACATAGAGCTTGCATTTGACTTCATGAACAACAACAATACCATTCTCTTCTGACTTCTTAACTGATGGGCTGCTAGGCTGTGCCAATTCACTTTCTGACAATCCAAAATGACACTCATTACTATGCAAGTAGTGAGAAAAAGGGAAAAAAAGTAAAAAGTTGAGAGAGAGAGAGTTAACCTATCTACTTAAAACCAACAAAGAGAAATAACCTAGAGATGAAAAACAAAAAATTGCATGACAAGGTTGAATTTAATGAATGAATGGCTTAAGACATAAAGAATATCCAGTACATAAGAACCAAAAGGCAAAGTTTCATTGTCCCACCATCATCTGCATCACCTGATGCATTGTTGTTCACAGCAACTGAGCTTTGAGTTCCTGAAATATCAAAATAGGGTGTAAAATTAATCAGACAAAACTAACATGATTAGCATCCAAACTCTTGACTCCAATCAAGGTTTCAACTTTCAACTTAAAACTTTTGTTCTTTTTTAGAAGGCATGTGCAATTGTCTTCATATCTTTAAGCTAATGATGTTTAATGACGCACCTAAAATCCTTGATACAAATATTTGTTATAGAAAGTCAATGCAACACCTACCGAACAAGACAGGAGTCTGACTGTTGGAGAATACTCCAGAGCACCAAGGAGATGCAAAGCTTGTAATCATGCCAGATGAAGAAAAGCTTGTTGTTGTACTGGCCAAAGTAAAATTTGTGGTTGTACCCCCAAACGTAAAGCTTGAGTTTGAACCAGCCGCCATTGAGCTTGTAGTGATACTAGCTGGAGTCAAGCTCGTAGTTGTATCCACTGGAGAAATTTTTGTAGTTGTATCAGTAGGATTAGGAATTGTACTTGTAGTGCCCAGAGAAAAGGTCCTAGCTGTAGAGTCCAGATAAAAGCTCAGATTTGTAGTGCCTGGACTTAAGCCTGTAGTGGTGCTGATTGGAGTAAATCCAGTTTTTCCTTGAAAAAATTTAGTCTCAGTATTCTTGGTTTCGGGCACCAGTTTACTTTCATTTTTATGAGATCCAGAAGCAGACAAGCTGTCACCATTTACCACATTTGCTTTGAGCCAGTTGACAACATCACTGAACTTATCCTGTGAAGGAGGAAATCGAGTACATACCACTTGAGTTAGTAAACAAAAACAATGTCTTGTATTTATGTGGACTAGTCTTGCATACTAATTTGAACATTATTACAAGTCACAGATACTAAAATGAGGGTTATCTGCGATATAAACCCAAGTTAGCCCCCATCTATTCATGGTTAGATGATGGGTTTGGGAATTTCAAAATACACTCATATAGTCAAACTAGAGCTGTCAACAAAACTGCTAGTAGACTGATATAAATGCCTCTGATTTTTAGTCATCTAAAAGGTGCATGGTATGAGCAAGTAATGCCCAATTGCAAACTACCAATATATGAATCATGCATGAGAGCTAGTATTAATTTTATTCTTATCAAGAAATTACATAAAGAAACCATATTAAACTCTTCTGCGCACAAGGGTTAACAAAATCAATGAATTACTAAAAGTATGTATATAACATATAGAAACAAAAATAGCATGAAGCAACAAAAAAAATAATCCTTTAAAGTCAGAACTGAAATAATCCAACAATAAAGACCTAAAATTTGCAACCAAATACATTCACATAGACTGTACAAACATGACAACAAAAATTTCTCAAGTGGATGAAAAAACATCAGAAATTACCATGATGTTTGAAGCATGAGTTAGGTAGTCTTGAACACCATCTTGCCAAAGCTCATCAGGGTGATTCTTCAATTGTGATTGCACCCAACTGTTGAAATAAAATTTTGTTATGGATAAATAAATACAAAACTATAAGTTTTGTAAGGTCCAAGGACCAGAAGCAGGAAACCTGGCTATTCTAAGAACTGGTAAGATAGCAAAAGTAAGTTGCTGAAACATCACAGATAAAGTAGATAGAGAGGTAGGACCTTGCAAATTGGGTGTTGAGAGTTTTCACATGCTGGCGAGACAACTCAGCTCGCTGTAGGTCTAATGGTGGTGTTGCAGTTGGCTGCTGTTGAGATGGTTCTGCCCTTTGAGCATCAAAAGGAGATCCCGCCATTATTCTTTTATTCCGTAACTGCACCACCATTGAATAAACAATAAGCCTCAACAACATGACTGATGCATCAAAACATCTAATGATGAAAACTTACTATTAAGTATTTAAATATGATAGCCATAACCACTCCCCCCCCCCCCCCACCCTTTTCTTTTATTTCACACTCTTAACTTTTGACAATTACTACTTGTTAAAATCATTCTTCTTTTCAGTTACCACTTTGAAATCGGTTTTTCTTTTTCAGTTTCCTTCCTTCCATATATGAAACTAATTTGCTCTAGTTCATTGTCTGGTTGGTTTTCTCGGCTTTTCCAAACATTATTTCTGTAGTATCATCAACCAGAAAAACCGCAGCTGAACAAACAATACATTAACAATGACAGCTAAGTTCAACACTTTCAAGTTTTATCAACCTCAAGTCCATTCTTAAAAATTCAGTAAGCCCACATCCAAATATTAAAAAAATAAAAATCAATCTTCCCAATATACCTGTTAGCTAAGAAAAACTAAAAAACATGAAAAGATTCAAATTTCAACATTTTTTTTCCTTTAGTTTATAGCTCATTAACTTCCTAATCAACAAAACTTTACAACTCAATGAAACCCACAAAACCTTATCAACAAATCCTACTAAAATTTTCCTCTTTCTTCATTTTATCATTGAGAAGAATAAAATAAAACAAAGAACATTAAATTAGGGTCATGCTATCAATTCAGGGTAGGAAACAATGGAGTAACAACATTTTTTTTAAAAAAATTAAAATATGCGAAATTTCATAAAACTCACAGCAGAATCGTTGGTATCGGCGACCGAGCCCGATAAGGCAAACCCCTTCGTTCTTTTCATGGCAATATAGGGCGGTTCAATGAAGATTTAAAAAAAAAAAAATCGATTTTAGGGTTCCAAAATTTTTTTTTATGGCTTTTGTTTCAGGCGAGAGAGGGACTTTCTTTAATTTAGGATTAATTATGGAAAACCTTTAACCATCCGATCAGGTGGGGAACTAGACTTTTAATTGGGACGGTCGGATTGGTTTCCAAAGTATCGCGGACCACGTGCTTGTTTAATTGTCTGAGTGGGCCCACCACCATGGACTCGGCCTTAATAATGTCGGACGCATGTGGTCCATTTTCGTATATAAAATAAGATGACACGTCCTTGTGAGTTGAAAGCACTCCCACTGAAAACTTGAATCAAGACAAAATCTCGACCTTTGGTTGCATGTTGGGGACGTGAGTTCATGCTTACTACATATTTAATACTGAAAATTACGAGTTACTATTTTTTAGACTACTTTGATTCTTCAAATATTTCATTGAGGTTTACAATTTTTTTTTGAATTTGAGAAATGAAATGTTAAGCTGAAAAGCATCAAGTCATTTACATATTCAATTCTTTGTAGCATCAAAGAGAGTAAAACCAGCTATTACAGATGCAGCACCAGTGGCTAGTTACTCCACCTTTCTTTTATTTTGTTACTACTCACCTATAATGCAGTGGGTTCAGTAAGAAAATAAAAATTACTGACTTGTATTTGCAAACATGTGATAAAGAAAAAATGGCAATCTTAACGTTACACATTATTTTTCAGACAAGGGGCTTTCTCTCTTCATCTTCTTCGAGTTCTACGCTGTCCACTTCTTTGGAGGAGGTTTCTGGATACTTGACATTTACATTTGATATTGGAATCCTAGGTGCCGGTTTGCTATCTGGCAACATCTTCAATATGATTCCCATGGCTATGAGCAACAGCCCTGACCCGTGCTGTTCAGTTAATGGTTTTGTAAATATCATGTATGACAGCAACAAAGTAACTGCTTTTCTAGCAGTTGTTATCTGCAAGCAAGGTGGGACAAGAAGACCAGTAGTTAGATGAAAACATGAAATAGATGAGAATGGATCTTTTAGTAAATCATATATACAAAGAAATTGCAAGTATATTCTACCATGGCGGTGGTAGCAGCACCAAAAATAGCAATGAGGGATAAAACAGACACTTGACCGATGAATGTGGCCATAGCTTCAAAGACTAACACCCCATACACATATGGATGCTGCAATTCATTCACATAAAAAAAAAAAAAAACACATATCAATAGCTACAAGAGATTATAGTACTAATAATCAAAATATTCGAAACAATCTCCAAAGAGATGAGGAATGAGTGACAATCGAGCCGCTCTTCACTGTTAGAAATAGTTTTTTGATTGATCATGCCAGTGGAAAAAGAGACAAGATACAAGTAGAATAACATCAGTTGCCTTTCAATGCCGTTGATCATGTGCGTGTATGCTTGGTTGAGGGTTATAAGCTAGGTCCACCTAAATAGAACAACCAAACCTATGATGGTCTCAGGAGCATGTCATTTTGTATTTAAGAGCACTTCATAACATGGTGGTAGTAATTTTCACATAAATCTACTAAATCTTAGCTAGTTTATAAGTCTGACTTGGAGAATTGTATTCTACATTAACTAGAATGGTCAACTACCAAATCATTGATTTCTCCAATAAAAATAATTTTGGTAGAACTAGTGGGCACGTTGTACATGTCTTCAAACCAGTACTTTCTTGTTTAACTCACAAAATAAAATGTTATTTTATGCACCCATGGCCTGGCAGGGCAGGAGGGTGTGCAAGAAAGAATTAAATCAATAAAATAAGAAAAGAGGTGGTGGGGACAAAGAGGGGATTGCTCTTTACCTGAGAACAAGAATTCCAGGCCCTAACGAGCTCTCCTGTTAGAATCATTGGCACAAGTAAGAAAGGAATCCCAATTACTGTTGAACGGAACAACATCTCCATCTGTAGAAGAAAATTGACATAAAACTATCAGTATTTTATTAGTGATTGTTCTTGTTTCAAACAGACATGAGAAAACTTTATGGATAACCTGTGTTGTGTCCGGATTCATGGTGAAAATTGCTTCTTGAAAATTACCCAGAAAGGCATCCATAATTAAAGCACCCGAAATCATTATAACACCAATGACGCTAAAATTTGGAGATATCTGTGCATCTGCTAAGGTGAAAAGGATGAGACCAACCACAAGAAGAAGGGCAGAGATGTATTCATGAAATGGGTATTTCCTTCTCAGGCCTGGGATGAAGGCACCCATAATCATAACTGGCAGTACCTAAAATTTCAGACAACAGGAGTCGTTTGTTAGAATTAACAGAAAACATGTGCATTTGAACTTAAATTAATTGCAGAAAGCTACAATAGCTTCAGAAGGAAAAAAAAATGTACACATTTTCTGAATTCTGATAAACTTTAGTACCATAAATTTTGTTTTTATTTAGCTAAAGAAGGGATGGAAACAAGCAATTTTTACACACTCTTAACTCGTTTACCTTTGTAGATTTAAACATAATTTGTGCAGGGTAGTTAAGGTAAGCCAATGAACCCTTGGTTAATCCATGAGAACCCATGAGAACAGCAGAGAGTTTCACATACGTTTTCCATGGATTGACCATTTGCTTCATGGTAAAGCCTTGAAGCCGTATCAACATCAGGTAAACAAATCCTTGTACAAAAGTAAAATACCATCCATAGCTGAAAGATTAGCAAGATTTTAAGTCAAGAAAAATCCAAGTATTAAAAAAAAAAACGGAATAAGGAAAATTTATGGTGACTGTACCTGAACCGAAGCCTGTTATACACATATTCCTACAATCAAGCAAAAGAACACATCAATGATCAGACTAAAATGGGAATTTAAATCCAATAAGACAGTGTAAAAATGTATTCATTGAATCATTTGACCATATAATGAACTCGTAAAAGCCATGAAATGGCAAATACGGAGAAGCTACTTGAGACCAACATTTCAACTGATTTATTGCCACCTTTTAACAACCAAACAATACAAAATGTAACACTACTACAATTGCCTAAGTATCTTCCTTCTCAATAATTTTCTCAGCAACCAAACACGGAGAAACCAAGAAAAATGAAAAACACTGCACGCAAGAGTGGGAATTGATCACATGCAGGGTCAAGAAACCATTGAAAACAAAATGACGATTCGAAACAACAATAGTCATAAAAGTTACTCATGGAACACCCCAAAGGGGGTCAAAAGATGTTAAAAAAAAAAAAGGAAAAACAAACCTCGCAAACGCCATTAACAAGGTAGCCAAAAAAGAACCCAGATGAACAAATAAGAAACTGTTGCCATTTTGGTCTATCCGTAAGGGAAATCCCAAACAAAGACCTTGCTTGATCCTCGCTTTTCATCTCCTTTCAACAAGTCCTGATAGTTAAATTTACCAAACGCCAACTCAACCCCCCAAAAAAATAAAGCCCAGAAAACAGATGAAGAAAAAAGGTACTCGAATAACGTTCTTTTTTGCTTATTCTATTACCCAGAACTGAAAGCTAAAAAAAGGTAGATTTTTAACATTATAACAAGGAGAAGGAAAGTATCAAAAGGAGATTTTAAAAAAGACTTCTCCTCTACGTTCTCCCTCTCACTAAATATAAAGTAAGCCGTATGAAATTCAGGAAGAGAGAGATTTGCTGTGATTAGGCTTTTTGTGTTTCTTTTTCCCTTTGGAAAACCGTGGAAAACAGGGCTTACGACTAAAAAGAGGAGAGAAATCAAATATTTTGCCTACAGAAAGGGAAGCAGAAGTACGATGTTTGTTCGGTTGGATCATTAATTTCGAATGGATGGAATTATATTATTTTATTTTTGTTAATTAAGATAAATTTTTTAGTTTAAAAAATTAATCAATTAAAAATAATTTAATTGATTTGTTAATTTTATTTAATTAATTGAATAATAAAATATATTAAATTAAATTATATATTAAATTTTTTATATTTAAAATAAATTAAATAAAATTATTTAATTAAAAATTTAATAACTTAAAATAAAATAAATAATTTAATATATTTTAAATTATATATAAATTTTATTATATTTTAATTAAAAATTTAATTCAGTTTATTCGAAAATTAAATTAATAAAAAATTAAAATTTTTGTAAAATTATTTTTGATAATTTATTAAAATTAATTCAATGATTAATTAATTAATATAATTAAATTGATTTAGTCAATTAATTTAATTAAAATCGAATTTAACACATCTAAGCAGAAGGGGAGAGTCATTCAAGGTCAAGCTTCCCAGCACATTTGGTTTATGTGAGGTTTCTCTGCAAATTCTCGGGAAACTGTTTTCTCGAGAAAAATGGAATCAAATATACTTATATCGTTTATTCTAGGGGACTTTTTGACTTTTGGGTTTGGACGACTTTTCCCTTATATTTATTATATTATCGACTTTAATTATGGAATTAATCCATAAAATTTCCAGTTGATTATCTTATTATTATCATTTCCGTATAAATCTTAAAAGCATCTTTCTTTTTTAAAAGCGTTAGATTTAAGTTCAAACTTTGTTTTTTGTCATGGAAAAAATGTTTTTCAAGTCTTTTGATTCTATTTTTATTTTAATTTTTATTGAATATTTATTTAGGTATTTTAATTTTTATTATTAGTACTAAAATACTGGGTTCACTTTATTAGTACTAAAATACTGAGAGAAGCATTGATAAAACTTGGAAGAAATAAAAAATCTCATAATTCACATCTATTTTAGAAGCTAACTTATCACAGCATCAGTATAAAATTACCTTTTATTAACTAACACATGCTGAAGGATATGTTGTTTCGTTTCTATAAAATACGAGTAATAAAAGATTTAGATAGGATTTGATTTGATTTGTATTTTTAATAGTATATAATATTATAAATGTTTAAATTTTAATCAGAATCGGAATCAATATTTTTTAAATCGGTTTGATATGAATTAAATTTTATTTGTTCAACTAGATTCATCAATTTTTTTAATTTAATTTTTTAATATATTATTTTAATATAATTTTAAATATATTTAAAATTGATTTAGATATAAAATAGTTTTTTTTATGAAAAGTTTAAAATATATAAAATATAATAAAATTATATAATTCAATTTTTTTATTTTTTGATCCAAAATTATTATATATTTAATATTTAAATTTAATTCAAATTAAATAAAAATTATTGTGAATCAAATTAAATACTATATTTTAAATCAATTTTTAATTTTTTTAATTTTATACAAAATCCTTATCAACTTTAATAATACAACCAAGGGATGGATACTGATATGGACTGCTAGCATTGTTCAAAATTCATCCAATTTTATCAATATTTATTAGTTTAAGTGGTAAAGAGTTCAATTTCTTTTAATTAAGATTTCAATTTTAAATTTTATAAATCAATAAAACAAATTTAAAAGTGTTTGTCATTTTTATAGGGTCAAATTCGACTCGATTCTGAATTAATCGAAATAAAAAATAGTTATCGGACACCAGAGGGTTTAAGGCCAAAAAAAATTCATTATAGAAATTTAAGTATAAGATATCCTAAAGTAACAAATGTTATGTTAATAATGGTTTGAAATATTTTACCATTTGTTTTGAAACATGAAATATTTTACCATTTGTAAAATAAAGAAAATATATTTAATTCACATTTTATTTGTTTCTCCAATCTCCTTTACCTCATATTAATGTAGTTAGATTTGGATTGAATCATCGACGGTATCTTTGAAAATTGGAAACAATTGTTGTTTCATTCAATCCGTTAAAATTCATTTAAAACGGATTTGATTAGATTGGTCAAGCTTGATTTTATTAAAAATTTTTATTATTTATTCTTTAAAACTATTTTATAAATGGTAAGATTTAAACCCTTATTTCTTTACAGATTTATTAATATACTAATCATTAAGTTAAATGTATTTATTTGTTAAATATCTATCACATTTAATATATATTTAATAGTAAATAATGCTTTTAAAACAAAAGTACTTTTTGTAATGAAGTCGGTTAAACCAATTAGAATGATTAAACCATGCACCAAATATTCAACCAAATTCAACCTTTGATCCTATTATTAAAACATTGCCTGTAAAATTAGTACCACCATTTTCATAAGTCTGCTTAAATTTTAATTTAAAGTTTTCCCCTTTTTAGATGTAATGGTTCATTCTCTTTTAAATGCTTAATGTTTATTTTCTACATATCAATCCAATTATTTATGTAAATAACGTGAATGTAATGGATAAAAATTCATGAGTATCTATTTTTGTAAATATTTTGAGAAAATAATTTATATCAATATTTGCCATTTTAAATGTCGAATGTTAGTATTTTGTTTGACTATAAAATAATTTAATATATATGAATATAATAAAAAATAAATTCATAAATATTTACAATATTTTTATTTGGGCACTGTTATAAATAAGCCCTTTATGATTCAAGATGTAAGGAAAAGGACTTTCTGAGTAAGGTCAAAATAATTGGAATATAACATTATTTCAACATTTTTATTTCTTCAAGCAAATATATATTTTATAAGAACTAGTATTACTATAATAAACCAATATTACAGAGCTTGGAAAAAAAATTTTGAACAAAAATTTAATAATTATTTAAATTTTTATCATTTTAAGATAATTAAATGGGTTAATTCTAATGAAAATAAATATTTTAAGATTTAATTAAATAAAAAAAATATTTAAAAATTAAATTAATTCAAAATAAAAAATTAAAATTTAATTAATTGTAATAAAATATTATAAACTCAAGTTATTATTGATTTTTTTTTTGGAAAAAAAATATATATAAAGGGTACTAGCCGGCTAAGGTACATTTTCTTTTCAAGCCACGTGTCCTGGCTGCTAAGGTAGGGCCTGCATCTGCCATATGGGGGACCCACAAAAATTATTTCCACCTCCGATTTTCTAACCCCAAGGAAGTTGCCGTGGTCGTTGGAACAGGGGAAGGAAGAGAGCGGGTTGGCCATAGCAATTCCTGATTCTAAGTTACAACCGTAGCCAAAAACCTGAGGAATTAATGTACGATGCACGGCTTCAAGCGTTCCTGAGTGGGAGATTGCGAGTAAGCAAATTTCTCTCACATTTTTCAAGATGACCCCTCGACTTTTGCATAATTCTTGTATTACCCATTATTTTATACTTTTTGAATATTTTGATCCCCGAAAGCTTCAACTATGACACATTTATGGTAATTCAATAAAAAAAAACTATTGGTATTAAAATTTCAATATCAAAATAAATTTCTTTTGCTAAAAGATCAAATATTTGAAATTTCTACACTCAATCATTCCCATCCTTAATTGGTTTGTCTGTGTGTCCAACTACCTTGAAAATATCTTAATCATCCACTAGTATTTTTCATTAAAAGTTCCAAAAAAAGAAAGTAAAAAAAGAAAGTGTACTATTGGATAAAAACGAAAATTTTATTAATTTAATAGTAAAATTATAAGTAAAAAATTAGAAGTTTTTTACCCTTCTTATAAAGCAAAAGAAAAGTTTAAAAATCTCAGTTGAATGCTATCATAAGTGTGAGAATTCAAAATTGTACTGTGTAGAAAAAGAATGTATAGAAAGACATAACAGTAACTTTATTAGAACCTTTTTTAAAATTTTTATTCAATATTTCATAGTTTGCAAATTGTGGTGAACGTGAAGAAGGCTGGCGTTGCAAGTGACGTACTAGTGAAAGGAATTAATTAACCATCGATGCTCAAAGCAAATGCGACTAAATTTAAAATTTATTGAAAATAATTTACTTAAATAAAAGATTCGAGATTAATAAGGAAATAAATAAATAATCAATATTTAATTTAATTTAATAAAAAATATTAATTAAGATAAAATAATTAATTTAATAAATTATAAAAATATATATATCATTAATTATTTGTAATTTTGAAATTCATCTTTATATATACATGAGGCGAGATGGAACACTCTATATTCGCTTATGGCTCAGTATTTATTTCCCAAAAAAATAGCTCCAATGCCAATCGTTTGAAGAATGCACTTAATGGACCGAAACAAATTAGAATCATAAGATATGATCTTTTTATCATTCTTACTTTTATTATCTTTTTACAAAATTTATCCTTATAAAAAATAAAATCAAATGTATGGATTGTAAAAAATAAAAGGTAAAAAAAGAATAAAAAAAATTAAAAATCCAAAAGAGTATGTTTAACATTAAAGCAAAAAATAATCTCACTCATTGAAAAAAAAAATTAATAATAATAATAATAATAAGAGATTGTTGTAATTGCTTCTGCATTACCTCTCAAATTTGTAATATAATTAATATAAAATATATATGATATTTAGAATTCAAATTAAAAAAAAAGGATAAAATAGATTACATGTCTGTGAAGTTAAATCTCATTGAGTTATTTTATATATTAAAGAAAAACGCAAAACAGTTTTAAAACGACTGTCACTAAAACTTTCGAAGTATAATCATTTTAATTTACACATTATTTTCTCATTATGTCCATACAAATTGTTAAAAAGTAACAAGAACACCGACGCTGTCGTTCAGTAGTAAAAATTTAATGCTATCACATAGCATGATTGCTTAAATATATGTAGGCTCAAATCCTCGCATCATTGTCAAAATGAGTCGCCATCGAGTCAAGCTGTTAAAGGACTGGTAATGGTCCTCCTCTATTTACGGAACAAGGATAATCGAAAAAGAAAAACAAAAAAAAACAAAAGGCCCGAGTGCTAAAGGAGGAAGGAAGGCTACCGTGGTTGGGTTATTTAGAGAGCCTTTTACTAAACTCTTCAAGTCCAATTAACACTTCCGTTTATTTTTGGGCATCTTGTTTTAGAAAGATGAATACAATCACACCGGCAATCAAAACATGATATTGACAGGGAAGAGAGATTTTTTTTTTTTGGATAGTTGAGATGGTTAAAATCAGAATATTCATTAATATTAATAATTTAATATTTTATCAATAATTCATAATCAAATATTATTATTGATAAATACAACAATAATTTCAATGACATGCTTCTTGCAAATATATCTTTATTAATATACTATTGTTATTGGATTGGATATGGAGTCACCGTTAAAAAATCATGTCGAGGAACTGATTTGAGTCGGGCCAGGCCCTCGCCCCATTCGTAACTCTAAGCAACATCAATCGCCATGTAAGAGATATAGATTGATTAAATTTCTAAAACTAATAGTTTGATGAACCTCGGTTCATCGGCACAGCGGAGGGATTTTTTTTCTTTTAAACTTTCATATTTTTCAAATTTTAAAATGTTTATGAACACCATAGCATAAAAATGTGTCAGCCACTGCATCGGCAGTATAACTACATGTTGACACTCGTACGCAATATTTAAAGAGTGAGGAAGATGATATATTATGAGAAATTGATTGAAGACAATGTTTAAAGAGCGAGGAAGATGCTATATTATCTAAAATGTAGGATGTAAATTAGTTGAATTGAATCCATTAATAGCAGAAAGCCTTGTAACTTTTAAGTCAGAGAAAAGAGCAAGGAGAAAATAATTCTAGGATGATTTGAGTGCAGAAATTGTATTTTTCTCCTTATTAGCCATTGGCTGATGCATAAAAATTTATCTTACATGTCAATGCTAAAAAGAAGTACAGCTACAGAGAAAAGAAAAAGGGAAAGAGAGAACCGGTTGTTCCCCGAAATTTCCGAAATTTTTTCACAATCTTTTCTCCAGGGAAAAGAGAAAAGGGGAGAATCAAAAGAATCAAAACACCTTTCTAATTACCTTCTTCAAGGTGGCTTTAGTCATTCGAAGCCAAATCCTCGATCGCAGCTACCAAATGACGAAAACTACCTTGAGTCATGTCTTAGACCTTATTATGCCCCCTTTTTTTTTTTTTTTTCTCCCATGATATAGAACTCAAAGTCTCAAACACAAATGAATGAAAAAATGTCAAAAGAGATCAGTTAATAACTCATCCACCAGGAAACTGAAAACCTCAAGCTCTACCGCTGATATCACCTCTTTCTTTTCTTCATTGAAGCTTTTCCAGTTTTCATTTCTCTCCATTTCTTTAACATACTGTTTTCTACCTTCCCGCACCTCCCATCCTATAACCAATTCCTGAGGATTCCCATTAACCCAATCCTCTGCCACTTTCAGTAAGTCGGGCTCAAACCCTTCAAGTCCCATATCAAAAAGTAGTTTAGCATTGTTTTCCACCATTAATCTCTCCCTAAAGACATCTAACAATAGATTATCAGCCTTAAACTTTAAACGTTCTGATGGGATTTTCGCTTTCAATAGCATAAGTAATTTCTTATTTGCTTCTCTATCTTTTTCATGCTTTTCTTCATCGGATATGTTACCTTGGTTGTTGACGGAAACTGAGCAGAGTTCGTTGTGGGATTCAAGTGATTCATCTTCAAGCTCTGCCATTGCAATTCGTTTCTCCAAGTCTACTGGTTCCAGCTGAGCCAGGCTCTCAAACCTTCGAATCTTTTGCGTGAGCTTTTGTTTTGTTCCTGTTGTCAACAACAAATGTCATTCTTGTTAATCGAAGGGCTGTGTCCGAAAGAGACAGAGATGAATGACAGAGATAGAGAAGGAACCTTCCACAGAGGCCAAGTGATCTTCGACCGGAGAGCTATTGTCTTCTTCATCATCATCGAAGGGGCAATCTAGAACAGACGCTGGACTAAACTGTTCCTTTCCTTCTTCGTTTGGGCAATCCTGTTTCTGTGCAAATCGTTCGAATATCAGTTAACTCCAAACAGCCAACAAAATCCAAGACTCTCAAAGAAGTAGCAACTAATCGGACAAGTTCATCTAATGACAGAAAATCTCAGGTCCAATCAAACACTGCCCATTTATTGGCATTTGGCATGTTCTCGAAATCTTATCCGTGAAGAACTAGACGCAAATCAAATGCAAAGGCCAAGTCAACTCACTACATTACAACATTTTGACATCTGCTATAAGTTAATTAATTTATATAATTACTTAAAATATAATATTTAGCAATACTGACGACCTCTGTGTTCGAGTTGAGGTCTCCTATCTCCTGCTTATTAAGTTAATGTTTCAAATATAATTTAAAATATAATATGATAATATGAAATAAAAATTATATGAATAAAAATATTAAAATAATATAATTTAAAATTTTAATAAAAATTGTAAATAAATTTAATTAAATAAAAAAATATTTTATATTTTTATATTAATACAAATTATAATATATAATTTTATATAAAATATAAATAATATAAATTATTAATATTTTATATAATATAAATACATAAATGATCTGAATTCAAATAATAGGAAAGACAATTCTCCTTCTCTAACCGACAAGAAAGAACACCAACCTAATTCCAAAACTACCCATACTTAAAACACCAAGAACCAACATCTATATTTCAAAAAATATATTTCTTTTTAGCCAGATATTCCTATATAAATTTAATAAGGATAATTAGGTAAAATTATAACATATGAATAAAGGAATGATATGATACATCTCGTGTAATGTGAGATTAGATGCTCTTTCGAGTTTCTGTGCCGTGGATCGCACAAGAAGACAGCGCGGCGGGATCGTTAAGCCTGGAAAAGCTCGAATGCAAAAATTTTAATAAGGCAAATACCAATCAGATAACGCCACCAATCGACAGGGCAAATATTAATATAAACACGCGAAACAGTGAATGAATCTTCCTTTACCTTTGTGAAGTTGATGGAATCCTCACCGACTGTTACGCCTACTGTATTGCTGACTTTTGGCTTCTCGGGTAAATCTGTTTTACCTTGAACGTCGTCGTTTCCACTTGAGCTCTCGGAATTACCGTTCGAAGACGGTAAACTGTTCGCCGTAAATTCACTTTCAGCCCAACAGTTACTGTTGCTGCTTGTGCTCGTAGAGACCCTACTGGTAGTAATGGTCGTAGAAGAAGTGTCGGTGGTGTTGACGTTGGTAATAGTAATCTGATCAAACGGTTGATTTTTCTCTTCAAGAAATTCACGAAACAATTTCCAGCGTATGATCTCACCATGATCATCCTTGTCGGCATTTCTCCAAAAGCTTCTTTGGAAGAGCTTCCTAGAAAAACTCCTGTGTATATGTCCTTTCCTCGAACTGTTACTTTTCAACGACGGTGGAGACGACTTGATGGAAGGAAAAGGCAATAGCTTGACGGCGTTAAGAACAGCCTCTGAAGCTCTTTGCAGAGCTGAAATGGTGGTGGAACCTCGCTTCGAACGACTTCTGTTTTTCAGAAGTCGTTTGGTAATGCTTAAGTAATCATCTTTTGATTTCTTCAAGTCGACCTCGAGAAGAAACCTGACAGTGGTACAACACTGGCGACGTGGAAACGACTTGAAGCCACTAGAAGAGCACGAACTCAAATCGTCTCTGAGGTAATCTTTGAGCATCAATGATGATTTTTTCTCGATCGAAAGCGTTTTCCTAAGCTTAATGTGATCAGTGGGAATATTGATCAAAGCCATATTTATGATAAAAAAAAGTGGGTGAAAAAAAATTCAGGGTTTTAAACAAAAAAATGTGTTGTTAGTTGTTACAGCTGGAAGCAATATTGGTTAATGATAATGAAAACTTGAAGGAGATAATTAAGCTAGCATTTAAAATAGGCTCTGAATGATCAGAACACAAAGGCTTTGGCAGAAAGAGTTGCAGCTTTTAGTACAGCAAAGAAACACAGAAGAGTAAAAATTATAGAGAGAGATTTATAGGGGAAAGGAAATGGAAGGAAAGAAAGTGAGAGATAGTTCTTAAGGTGGTGCTGAAGATTTCTAGGGTAAAGACTTAAAAGGAGGGAGAGAGAGAGGGAGGGAGGGAGGGTTTGCAGAGAAGCTTGGATGCTTCTTCTTCTTCTTCTTGTTTTTGTTAGTTGTTGATGTTTCATTTGAATCGCAAGTTTGAATATTTTAGTGGTTTTTTTGAATTGGTGAATTAAATGCACGTAAAAGTTTGTTTATCGTTTTTCTATTACTATTACAGTGAAGGGGGAGAAGCGAAGGAGGTGTTGGGGGTTTTTGGACTGGTCTGACAGACCAGTGGTTGACATTTGACAAATTTGAAAATGATGCAGCAGACTTGGAGGAGGAAGGGAGCATCAGCCTGGCCTTTCTTCGGGCGCTTAACCACGTGTGCTTATTTTTGCAAACAAATCTTACCTCATATAGTATATTAAGCTCGCAGTTGATTCTCATTTCTTCAATTACAACTGTCAGTCATTGCCTCAAGATTGAGTTTCGAAAAAACAAGTGTTAATTTTTGAAAATGTTTTGAAACTTAAGATCTTTTTGTACAATTTAAATAGTGATGTATCTTGTTAAGGAAAAAACTTATATAGGGTTCTATAAGTGAAATTTATAAAATTTTATATTAAAAATGAATAAATAAAATTAAAAATAAAAATTTCATTACATAAATTAATTTTGTAAAATCTTAAAAAATTTTGATATATTTATTAAATAGATATTTTTAATAAAAATATTAACAAAATTTTTACTATTAAATAAATATCGATTAAATTTGAATTATAAATAATACTTTTAATAAAATTTTTTACATATTAATAATATTTACATTGAATTCTATTAATCTATTAATTTTTATTTTTATTTATTCATTTTTAATAAAAAAATTATTAATTTCACTTATAAAACTTTATGTAAGTTTTGTCCGGTTATTAATTAGTTAATGAAGAGTTTTGCTTATTCGAAAGAAAATTTTATTGTAGAAAGGGTTATTTCTGTAAAAAAAATCTACTTGCCTATTTCTTTTAAAATTTAAAGTAAAAGTTATATATCAATTATTGAATCAAATATTCAATTGAATGTGATAATCCAATTCAAGTTTAATGAATGTTTCATTTGCATATTTGCTTAATTATATATGTGATTCGAATCATACAATTTTGCATATTTGCTTCAAACTTGAATTTCATGCCTAACAATCTAAACTAATCTAAGCATTAAAGGTTTTCAGTCTTCCACAAGGTGATGAAATTCCAATAATGTGGGATATAATAATTTGAAAATTAGAAGTTGGGTTTGGTTAAAACTGTCTTTATAGCGCATAGGTGAGTGATAAATGATTATGACTTTCAACTTGCAAATTAAAGAGGGAACAGCTTAAGTAGCTACAAATTTTGAAGTCCCTTGTGATTCGAATCTAAAAACAATGCAGAGAAAATTAAAAAGGTTCAGTTAAAAAGACGACTGATTGCATGATTGATGTTGTCACGGAGGTTTGGGACCACAGCTTGGTACGTGCCCAACTATGCATGGCCAACATTTTGAAATTGTATGAGCTTGCACCTGCTTTTTTTCATAAATTCAATCATAATGTATGGTAAAATGATACTAAATAGTTAGTACTTTTAAATTTTTTTGGCTGAATATGCTCTTAAATGATCAATTGGATCCAGTGACGGTCTAAAGCCCAGATATTTGAAACTGAGAGAAGAATTTTGCATTGGAGAAGGGATTTTACCTGACGACTGGCAAATCAAAAGAAAAGTGGTCAAGATATCTAAGGACCACACTAAGATCAGATATATCCCACAGTCTAAAAGGATGGATCAAAGAAGCACATGTGAGGCACTGCTGGAAACTTAATTGCACCTCCTCCCTCCACCCTCCCCCCTCTCTCTTGATCGATACAGATTAACGCCACACCTGAGCTGGAAAAAATAACAGTGTCCCAGACTACAACTTCTTAAAGATGCTGTGGTTTTTATTAGATGGCAGTGCAAAACAATGTAACCCTTTTAACTGAAGGGACTGCCCTGAAATTGGTATATAGCTCTTTACGGTGGGTCATTGTTGCGGTAACGGTTTTAAAATTGTCCAACGAATTTAGAAATAAAATAAAAAAATAAAAAATAGAATCATCACCAATTTGTTTTAATTAAATATGATTGATCACCCATTAAAATATATCTTTTTAATAAAATTTTAAATTTAATTAAAATTTATTAAAAATATAATTTTAGAATCTACGAAATAGATTGAGTCTGAGAGTTAGTTACGCATGAAAAATGATTAGCACTCCCATAGTATTCGTTTAAAACGGTATCAATTAATTACATGTTATCATTTAATTTTGAAAAAAACGATTTTTGTTTCCGTAGTTGAAATATAATTTCCTTGACTTCTTTTGATTATTGAAAATTTATTATTATTATTATTATTGTTGTTGTTGTTGTTGTTGTTGTTCTATTTTATCATAAAAAAATAAATTAAAATTTTTTTATTAAAATAATTCTTAAAATATTCTAGTACATTTAATAACATTAGAAGAACCTCTTGTCATCTAAAAATTTTTTAGGCATCGCTTCTTGGAATATATTAGAATCCTATCTTTGGAGGCCTAGATTTATTATTCAAAAGAATTATATCATGCATGCAATGTAAATGATAATATGTTCATGCACACATTTTATTTTTCTTTTAAAAATTTTATTTTTTATATTATTATTGTTATTGTTCTGAAGAAAACAGAAATTTTTATCATATTAAAAAATTATTATAAATACTCCAATACACTGATAGTATTTAAAAAAAATTTTTTACCTAGAGATTTTTAAGGCATCATTATTCGAAATACCTTAAAATCTCATCATCGGGTAAAAATTTATTTTCTCTCATTTTTTATTATTTTATTTTTAACAAATTAGTTAATTTTTTTATTATGTTTTTATTTTAACTTTATAGAACAAGAAAAAAATTTTATTGTATTGAAAACTTTTTATAAATATTCAAATACGATGGTAGTTTTTTAAAAAATCTTCGTACTTAGATATTTCGTAGGGATAGCTACTCGAAATATCTTTGAATTTTGTCATCAGATAAAATTTTTCTTTCTTACATTTTTTATTATTTTTGGTTATTTCTCATTTTTCAAATTAAAAAAATCAAAATTTAAAAATCATTTTTTTAGTGTTAGTATTATAATCTTTAGTTATTATTTTTATTATGATTATATTGTTTTATAAAGTTCATTTTAACTTTTAGTAGAAAAAAATTAGACTTTGTTTTCCATTATTAGTGTTATTTATTTTTTTGCTTTCATTTTTTATTAATTTCATATTATAAAAACAACAAATATTCATCCTAAGAAATTTAGAAAATTTTAACATATGTAAATATTAATAATAAAGCTCAAAATAAAAAAATAATATATATAAAAAATAAGTGAAAAAATAAAAAATATTTTATCTAAACAAGGCTGGTCAAGGCGTTTGGCGTTGGTTCAGTGAAATATTGGTTCAACTGGACTGGTCTAGGTAGAAGGAAGCCAGGTTATAGGTCAGTTGTGTGGATCTCGAGTTGGGTCACGGGCTAGTAAGCGGATCGTAGAAGTTTAAAACGACATCGTTTTGACCTTTAGCTACCTATATAAAAGCTCAAATTTTTTTTTGTTCATTTTCTCCTCTCTTTAAAAAAAAATCCAAAAACTCTTTGAACAAAAAAAAAGGGTCAGCCAATTGCTAGAACTTGATAGCCATTTGTCGCGTTGGTCACTGTCATCGGTTGTCGTTGGTGATTGAAAAACATAAAAAAACTCTCAAAACACATATCTTACCTTTCTCTTTATAGATCTAGTCTCTTTTTCACAAAAAAATAGTCTTAAATGGCCTGGATCTGTTATTCAACCCTAGGCCAAAAACTTTTTTTATTTTTTATGGATCTTTATTTTTTTTTTTAAATCTGGCACTGGGTTCCCTCATTGGAGGGATTGTGTTTTTTTTTTTTTTTATGTTTGTTTCATGCTTTTTTTTGCAGTGATTTTTTTTTGTTGTTTTACAAAAGCATCCATTTTTTGTAGGATTTTTTTTCTTTTTTTTTAAGGTTATTTATTTTGTAGGATATCTGGGTTGACTCTCAGGGTCTCTTCATCTTGGGTTTGTCGTCATGGAACTTTATTTATAAAGCTCTGATCGTAACTTTTCATCTGGGTAAGTGGTCTCCAAGGCATGGGTTTGGCTGTTTAACAAAGGGGTTAGTAGATTTGGGTCAAAGTGCAACGGGTAAGTGCTACAGGGCTCTGGGTAGGCTGGTGGTGCTACAGTGGAGGTTCAAGGGTGCTAGGGTGGTGTAGGGGCAAGTGGCCAATAGTGTCGTGCACAACACCCATTGTTACCAGCCTTTTATTTTTTTACCTTTTTTATTTTTGTATTTTTTATTAATGTTTAGTTAAATATTATTTATTGTATTTTGATATAAATAAAAAAAAATCAGGCTTTGATCGACGAACTTGTTAGAATTGAAAAATTTAACCTGAAACCTAAACAAATTTAGTATTTACAGTTGTTCCTCTTTGAACATTGTTGAAAATCAAGAATATGACAAAGACAAAAACAAAAATTTTGTCTGGAGTCCAAAGAGATTTTTTTTTCCTAATTGATCCAAACTAATCAAAAGGCTTATCTCATTAAAAACCAAAAAACTTTAAAGATCAAATCAAAATGCTCATCTTACTCAAGGCTCGACAATTTTTGAAAACTTAAAATGATTTATCTAAGTATAAGCTTAACAACTTTAAAATTCTCTTATGAAAAAAAACTTCTCTAGGTAGATGTTCAACAACTTTAAAAAATTTTCATTCTTGGAAAAAAGCTCTTCTAGGTA